CCACTTTTGGCGCTGGCGCCGCCAGAGTCCGCGTTCCTGGAAGTGGCCGCGGGGGCAGGCGGGCGTGGCCGGGGGCCAGGCCGAGGCTGAGTTTCCACCGGGCGGGGCCCAGGTCGGGTCCGGGTGGCGGCTGCCGTACGACTCTACCCGAGACCCCCGGCTGATCCCATCCCTTCCAGGGCGGAGGTCACTGCAGTGACCCCCACGCCCAAGGTTCGAGTCACTGGGTGGAAACTCCGCGGGCGTCGGACTCACTCCTTTTGGGGGGCAGAGCGGCCGCGGCTCCACTTGGCCCCTGAACCAGCGCGGCTGGCGCGGCCCGCTGCTCCGGCTGAAAGATTTATCTCCCGCGGGCGCCAGCCCCCGGGGAGGCTCGGCCCCGCGGCACCCAGAGCCCGGTCTGCCTGGCGCGGCTGGCCCGGGGGCCCGAAGGGGTCGGGGCGCTGTCCCCGAGACCTGTAGTCCAGCGGGGCCCACACTTGGAGCGCCCGCCGCCACCGCCCAGGTCGCTGCGCCCTCCTCAGGCTTTAGGACTGGGCAGGTTTGGGTGCGGCCTGGGAATGTGCACGTCTCGGCCAATGGGGGGGCCACACTTGGAAAGGCCACGGCACCCCTTCCAAATTCTCTCCTCACCCTCTTAGAGTTTCACTTTTGGTTTCGTGAGTCCGTTAGTAAAAGGCTTCATCCTAGGGGCAAAAGGAGCGCTACACATCAGCCTTGGCCTCAGGTTCAGCCGAGCTGTGGGTCTTTCATTATTGGTGGGGAGAAGGGGAAAAAGGGAGATTTGATGTTACTATGTGCACCTTCTATCATCATGAATTATTCTTTTTATCGAAACGATACATCACCTGAGTTTATGTGGTAGCCCCGCTATGACTATGTCCCACACACCATCTCTAGTCCGTAAGTAGGCCTCATCAGGAAGCCAATAAACGATAATGTGAACTTGGTCTGTTAGGTGGGATAGATAGCTAACTGAGGCAGGGAGGAGTAGGGAGGCACGGCTCACCCACTGACTCAGCCGTCGGAGCCTGGTGCGAGCATGTTGCTGGGTGCTCCAGCACCACCAGGAGCACCATGACGCAGGAGGGGGAAGCCCTTGAAATGCTGTGTATCATTTCCACTCTCCGGGAACAAAAGCCTTTGAACCTGTGCTTTCATCCCAAGGCCCGGAGGGGGAGGGGTCCACAGGGCCCAAAGGAAGAGCCCATAAAACAGCTTCGGTTAATTGCCTATCTCTGGTCACTGTCTGTTTTAAGAGGGAATCCCTAATGCGTACAGAAAGAGTCCATAAATACCTTTGGGTAACTGCCCCAACTTTAATTACCTACCTCCTGCCATGTATCTGTTTTACAACAAGATCAACAAATGGGGTCTGGAGCAAGATAAGGATTTAGGAGAACAGACTCCCACACATACCTAAGTTTGGGTGCTCATGCCATCTCCACCCCCACCCCAAGAGCTGGCACCACCTTGACCAGTCAGTCAATATGTAACTTCTTCACCCCCATCTTCCAAACTATGTAAGTTCTTAGAACAAAGAACTCGCTCAGCTCTCTGGCCTCCGGGCCTCAGGCCACGCAGGCACTTGCCACCCCGGCCGCAGGCCGCCCTTACTCTGCTTTGCCCTGAACCTATGCCTTTCACCACCCCCGTCCCCAACCTCGACAAGGCCTAGTCTCTTCCATGAGAACAGAACAGATTACCAATAAACTCCACTGCACACTAATAGACTTGCTGATCTATAATTTTTTACCGCATCGGCAAAAAGAACTGAGTTTCTGGGAGTTCCTCCTGTAACAGGTCTGGGGCAGGTAAGACTGGCCTTTAGGCTCAGACAACAACGAGGGCAGGCCGTGCTCAGCAGCTCACAGAAATCCTGTCTGAAGCACTCCGTGCAAACGATGAGGACAGCCACACAACTCAAGATGTTCTCTGTGTGCCATGTTTGCTGGTCCTCAAGGTGGGTCGACCTGCTACTTCATTCATTTTAGCACCCTTTCTTCCAGTACAGGCCCACATACCACCTTCTGGGCTGACGTCACGCTTCCCACGATGTATGTTTTTCAACTTGCTTAGCAACTAGTGATACTCCTCACTAAAGAGTGTGTCTGGGAACACCCCCAGTGTGAGTCCTGGCAGAAGGGTACTTGCTTTGAAATGTCTTGGATCCAGATTTGTTCTTCTGGAAGTTTATTTTAAAACCTGGATCTTTTTGTCAGCCTCATCCCGACCACAAACTACTGGGGGCTGTGGTGTGACTCGCATCCCCGGGAGAGGGCAAGGACAGCACTCACAGCCCAGTGGGATTCTGGTCTCCCCCTGCCCGGGCTCTGTGGGGGGAGGTATCCCCGCAGGGCGTGCTCTGATTCCAAGAGATCAAACAGCCCATTCCTCCACCTCTGTTGGAGACTCTGGGCCAGGAAGGCAGATGGATCTGCATCCCCCGCACATCAGGAGTTCTGGGCAGTGACCAAAACAAAATTTTCCTGGAAGGAAATTTTATTTTTCCCTAAGCAGCATCTTGCAGTAGTTCATCTTTTGATTTGTGCCTCCTATTTCACTGAGCTCCTTGTCCAACCTGCTGATTAAATCCAGACGCTGCGCTTGCTCAGAGACGTGTTCTTGGTCTTAAGTCCTCTGCAGGCGCTCTGAGACAAGCTCGGTCCAGCTGGCTGCCGGGTCTGTTTGAGCAGGTCGGCCTTATAGGGCTTAATTTAGGTGGCTTCGTCCTCTCATCCAACTCGGGGGGTGCTGTTTTCCAGCAGCCTCTCTTTGGAGATCTGTACCTTCTTTGTCTGCTTTCATCTCAGCTCTTTGCCCTTCAGTAGAGACAGCGGCCAGGCAGTTAGTTGCCTGCTACAGCTGCAAAGATGACTTCATTCAATAGCTGTGTAACATGTCACAGAGATGCATGGCCTCCCCCCTCCCCAAAGAGCACAAGGGCTGAGGCCAACAGAGAGCTGTCGGCTGCAGAAGACTCAGACTTGTCCCTCCATGAAGGCAGAGCTTGGGCAGGCACCTTGATGTCCGTTGCAAGGCTGGTTAGCTTCCCTAAAGTGTTTTTGCGTATTCCAACAATTCGGCATCCAGTCTTTCCCAGCAGCAGTATCTTGATAATCCTAGAATCTGAGTGTTGGATTTATGCGGATTCATTAAATGATTCTCTCTACTTTTGCCTTTGTTCAAAATCTTCATAATTAAACATTTTAGAAAGTCATCTTGAGCCCATGCCGTTTGGGAAACCTAGAGCAGTCAAACAAGAACATCCCAATTAGGTAGGGCCAATGGGATGCTTGGCAAATCTTAAGAACTGCAAAGGTTAGGTAGTGGGTTCAGCGTATACTTCTCTGAACTCGGAATGTACAGAGCAGAGCCAATTTGGGTAGTGCCCAGGTGGAGCTTCAGACCTAAGCAGTTTCTTAAAAAAAAAATATGTTTATTGATTTGAGAGAGAGAGAAACATTGATTGGTTGCCTCCCATACACATCCCCGTCAGGGCTCAAACCTGCAACCTAGTTATGTGTCCTGACTGGGAACTGAACCCCCAACCTTTTGGTGTATGGGACAATGCTCCAACAAACTGAGCCACACTGGCCAGGGCAGACCTGAGCAGCTTTGCCTTTGTGACAGAAGCGTTCTTTGTACTCACACCAGATTAAATAGGTTAAGTATAGTGAGTGGGCAGTGAGCCTTACCCAAGTCACATAAGGAAAGGTAGTTCTTTTTAATAAACCACTTCCCAGAACAAAAAGGGGTAGAGGGATTTTTTTTAACTGTCACTGTTTTCCATGAGCACAAGGCTCAGATAAATACGACACTGCTAATCTGTAAAGCTCTGAAAATGTTGTCTATGTTATACATGTGGTGTGAGAATTAAAATAATCTGTGTAATTCCTCATCACAATGCTTGGCACACAGAGTCGCCATATTTGGCAGATATTATACAGAACAATGTAATGTTCCGTATGAAAAAAAAAAAAAAGCAATCTTTGGGATATACTTATACCAAAACTTATTTGAAATTAAAATTTAACTGGGTATCCACTATCTTGTCTGGCAACACCAGGCACACAGTGAGTTGACAATAAATGTTAACTTTTATTATCATGAAAAGGAAGATTATTTTCAATACACAGTGCCTGGACAGGCTGTCTCCTCCTGCTAAATACAGCTCTTCTTTGAAGACAATCTCGAAAGAGCTGGGCGGGGCTGGTGGCTTGGGAGATGGTGGCCACAGGCTGTTTTAGGCTTCTTCAAACGCAGGCTCACCTACCTTCTCCATGCCCTCTTCCCTGTCTCCACCTTCTTGGATGCATGGAGATGGAAACATGGATGTGGAAAGACGGAGGCTCCCACGGCAGAGCCTCAACATCTGGAAAGGAAGGATTTTTTTCCGTCTCTAGCCACCTCCCCAGCCTCCAGCCCAGAGTTGGGCAACTTCAGTTCAAAAACACCACGTGCAAAGAGAGGAAGGATTTGAGCTCCAGTTTTATTCCTAAAAATCCAAATACCAAGTGGCGAGGGGAAGGGGAAAAAAAGGCTTCCTCTAAAATCCCTGGAAATTGCTGCAGTGGGATGGAACCCTGATGCTTGGAGCTTCAAGGCAGATCTTGAACATTTTTGGTTGTAAGATGGTCTTGGGTCACTCCTGTAAAATAGAACGAATCCCATCTTTTTCCCTGTGATACAACGAGCTCCTTGAGGCTAGGGGTTAAGCCTGTTCGCGCCCACCCCCAGGGCTGGGAACAGGGCCAGGATCAACGTCAGCGAAAATGAACGCCGGCAAAGTGGTGGACCGTAGAACCGGAGACGCGGACGCTCAGCGTGCGACCTCCAGCGGACAACTTCGCTTTACTTCCGCCTCCAAGGAAGTCCGCCGCCCGAGTTCCCAAAGCTCCCGCTTTTCCTCCCAGTATGCTCCGCGCCGGCCGCGTTCCGTGATTGGCTGCACCTGCCCACGTGATGCCAAGCTGGCGGCAGCGGTTGCCGGGGCGACGGCTGGAGAAGTGGCGGCCCAACGGGGAAGGCGCGGGTCCCCGTGGCTGAGCAGCAGGTAAGCCCGTACTCCGGTGCGGCCGGGCCACCCCCGAGCCCGCCGTCCCCGGGCGGGAGGAGCAGCGGTGGGGCCCGAGGTCCGCGCCTCTCCTGAGCCCTCGCCCGGAGGAAAACCGCGACGCACCAGCCTGGCAGCCGCTGCGAGATGCCTCCGCGTCTCGCCTGCGGTCCAGGGCTCTTACTGCAGCGTGGGCCCGAGGCGGCAGCCCAGACGTACCGAGGACAGGCCCAGCTGCTTCGCGTCACTAGCCCCTGATCTTTGCTGCAGTGGGCCACACTTGGGAGAGGTCCCCAAGTCCTCCAGCTGGGTAGTGGCGGCGCGAGCGGGTGGCCTGGGACTTCTCTATTATCTCCATCAGCTAATCTCCCTTCCCAGGCACCGCAGTTAGACCCAGAGTTTATCCAACCTAAGCAAAAACAGGATGCTTGCTATGCAAATTCTTCTTCCAAACACATCCCATAGTCTTACCCTTAGGCCCAAACCCTATAATACAGAAATTCAGAAGCTGCCACTACAACCCTCAGAAGTGAAGAAGTTTTCTCTAGTTTCTGCGTAAAGTAGAGCAGTGGTTCTCAAACTTGAATGTGCGTAAAAGTCATCCGGAGAACTTGTTCAAAACGATTGTGGGGCATCGCGCCTGCCGTAATATTCTGTAGGGTCAGGGTGGTGCTAGGAACTTCCATTTGCGCAATCACCGCTAGGTGATTCTGATTGAGGCGGTCTGCACTTTGGGTAGTGCTGTGTAGCCACTGGGATCGCTCAGATCGGTCTGGATTGAAATTCCCACGTTGCCACTTACTAGCTGAGTTATAGGGAGCACTTCTACCTCTCTGAGCCTCCGTTGTCTCATCTGTAAAAGGAGAATGTAAGTCATGTTCACCGCCCAGGTTTATCGTGCAAATTAAATGTGAAGCTTTTTGCAGTGTCTGGTATACATTAAACCCTCAATAAATGAACCTATTATAATTCAAAAGTTTAGAGAAGTTTTTCTAAGAATGTCAAGAGTAATAGAATACCCAACAGTGGCTCACCTTCACAGCAGAATCCTATTCAAATGATGGTGGTAAAGAGCTTCTCTGAGAAAGTGATGTTTATTAAGTACAGGGGTTTGCCAGGTAAAGAAAGAAACGGGGAAACTGTCAACAGGCAGTGAGAACAACATGTGCAAAGGCCCTGAGTGAGGAAGGAGCTTGAGGTCTCAGAAACAACAGTTTTCTTGTTCCAGGACCTTCAAAAATGCTATTTCCTCTGCTTGGGCTTCAGTTATTCGTTAAACGTCTTGGATGCCTTTCATGCCAACTTTGCTAGGTTCTGGAGATACAAAATTTAAATACAGGTTCCTGCCTTGGTAAACAGGGTGATGAGAATAACAGTAGAAGTAGATGTAGGGTACAGAGGTACCCCGAGGGGGAGAGAATCTCCTTGATGGGGATGGAAGGGGGTGGGGGTTCATGGAAAGCTTCCTGAGGGCGGTCAAATCTGGATGAAGTTAGTGTGGAGAGTGGAGTTCGCCCATGAGGTGGGGGGAGTTCACCAATCAGAGGGCTTGGAAAGAGCATGGTGTTTGGGGGAATGACTGGGAGTTCACTGTTGGCGGGGGCCTAACTGGGTCAGTGGTAGAAGGAAGCAGGGAGAGGGACGGGGGTGGTGGTCCAGAGAAAGGCAGGAGGGGCGGACGGTCCTCAAACAGCAGCTGCCTTTCTCCTCGCACCTTGGGGACCTGGCAGGCGGGGTCCATATCCTCCCTGGCCCTCTCTGCTACTTCCAGATGGCCGCCCCCCTCCTTTGAAGTACGTGCCCTGGGCTTTCCCACTTGCCAGCCCTCCTTGAGGCTGTCACTCATTGGGGGCACACCTGTCATGGGCACAGCTGCTTCCCTTGAAGGCTGTGGCTCCTGGCTCACTGTCTACCTCTCCGCTCCCTCTACTGCATTTTTGATTTCGGCGTCCTGGCCGCACACGTTTCTCCATCCTCCTTACTTTCAGGCATCTTTCCCTCCATTGTCCTCATCTGCCCACTGTGTGGCCGTGAGCTTTTTATTGCTGCACCCCCTCCACGTTTTGATTGGAAGCACTCGTCCCCCTGCCTGACCCCCCTCTGTCTTTCCCGCTCGCTTTAATGTGCCCTCTTGAGCAGGTCTTTGACCCCATTGCTTTTTCACTGGCTTACAGCCCCTTATGCACCTGCCCTTCCCCCTTCTCAACGAAGCCCCGCTTCAGTGCTCCGCCACTCTTACACTTGTTTTCTCTTTTCCCCGTCTTCTGGAGTAACCGCACCCCGATGAACCTAACTCAGACACGGATGGTGGCTGGAGAAAGCTGAAAATCGGACAGACCTTTTGGCAATGTTTAATATTTTTACTTGGGTGTAGCTCGAGGGATCAGTGACTGTTTATTTACATCAGATTAATTCTAATGCCTAGCCTTCCTTAAAGTACATGAATTGACCTTATCATTAAACTGTCTTCTATTCTAAATACACTTTGTGGTCTTGACTGTTTGAATTACGCATACCACATTACAGCACATTGGAAAGCCCTAAATAAGGAAAATAACCTTCCACAGTCTCAGCAGCAACCTTTGCTTTTTTCATTTACACCACCCTCCAGGCCTGGCCCACCTTCATTTTTATGTGTAGAAATAATTACTAATTACAGAGAGGAAAGAATTACTTTTGACTTTAGCCACTCTATTTCCTAGTGCTGCTGTAATAAAGTACCATGAATTTAATGGCTGGAAACAACACAAGTTTATTATTTTACAAGTCTGGAGGTCAGAAGTCTGAAATGGGTCTTGTTGGACACAAATGAGGGTGTTCATGGGCTTGTTCCTTTCTGGGCACCCCAGAGGAGAATCCCTTCTTTGCCTTTTCTGGCTTCTGGAAGCTTCCTATATGTTCTTTGGCTCCTGGCCCTTCCTCCACCTTCAAAGCCAGCAATGGCTGGCCGAGTCTTCCTCACTGTGCATCGCTCTGGCTCTGACCCTCCCGCCCCCGCTTTCCTTGTAAGGACCCCTGGGCTTACAGCGGGCCCCGCGGATGATCCCGGCTGCCGTCCCTATGGTCAGGCCACGATGGGCAGGCGGAGTGCCACCTGCAGCCTCAGTTTCCCCTTGCCTTGCAGTACGCCGTGCCGCTCGCGGGGATAGGGGTGTGGGGTCCTCGGGAGCTGTCATCCTGCCCACCGCAGCCGCCTTTTTCTGGTTTCACAGGTGGTTAAGTGAGAGCCTTTCTTCTGCCTTGGAGAGACTTTTGCTGTGAGAATTCACAGTAGCCGTTCAGTATGGGAGACATCCTGGCTCATGACTCCGAATTACTTGGACTAGTGAAAGAGGTAGGTATGTCACACCCCAGTCAGGGAAAAGGACCCTGGAAACGGTCGCTGCTGCTGTTCTGTGTGATTCAACTGTCCGTTGGGCGCCGAGAGAGGCGGCGGTGAGCAGGGTTGCGGCGTCCACCTGGAGGTGCAGCTTTGGGATTTGTGGGCATGATCATGAATAAACTCGGAAAGCTGTCCCCACGGAGGGCTGTGGACAGGGCCTGGGCAAACAGCCGCAGTTAGGGGAGGTGGAAGCAGAAGGGTGTGGCTGACAAGCCGGAAGGAGGGCAGGGGGCACGCACAGCAGCGGAGCACAGGGTGCGGGACCAGGGGAGCGGGGCTCCGAGGACGCGGTGACGCGTAGTGCTCTGTGTACAGACCTCTGAACACGTGACACGGCCCAAAGCCATCAGGCTGTCCGGCTGCCCCTCACATACCTTTTGCAGGCTGCTGCACACAAGATTTGTTTCAGATAAACAATGATAATGAACCAGGGAGCTCACACTTTCTAAAAAGCAAACTTTTTTTCTGTAAAGAAACATCTTTTTTTCTTTTTACTTGGTGCCCTGACTGGGAATCAAACCAGCAAACTTTTGGCTGGCAGGCCAGTGCTCAGTCCACTGAGCCACACTAGTCAGGGCACAGAAACATTTTCCACGCCGCTGTCTTTGAAGGCTTTTAGTGCCTATGTGGGTAAGTAAATTCTAAGCTGGATCCCAAATTACTTCTACCAAAGGTGACAGTCCATTAACCCCATTAGAAATGGGTGCTACTACTGAACTAGTACAATTACATCGAAGGCATTTACTTTTTACATATTAAAACAGAGAGCTGTGTATACATTTGTGTTTTCTTTTATAGTATTTAGATTTTGCTGAATTTGAAGAGACGTCCAAAACATTTTCAAAAGAATGCAAAATAAAGGGAAAACCATTGTGTAAAACAGCAGGTGGCACTTTAAGGGACTCCAAATCACTGATAATCCAGGTAAGCATTTACTTTTTAAAAAATTTCTGTTGGTGATCAGGATGCTCTCAATTTGTAAAAATAAAAAATGCTGCCATTTGAGAACATTGGAATCTTCACTGGGGACGTGGTCACAGTGACTTTTTGACTTCTCGGGCGTCCACGCATGGATTAGTAGTGTCACCTTCACGCCTTTGCACCCTGCCTCGGAAGTGGGCAGTGACAAACGGTCTTTCACACACACACTTCGTGGGGAGAAGACAAAGAGGAAACCTTGCTGTGCTTAGACACCGAGACCAATGTGACCCCCACCCTGAGTTGTCTGAGGTTGCCAATTCCAGGTACCGGGGACACAGTGGCGAACAAAACGGGGCCAACGTCTGCCCTACGCGCTTGCGCCCTGCTTGGGGAGACGGGGGCAGGGAGCGGGCAGGCTGATGGGCAGCGTCCTGGCCTGAGCAGCTCTGTGACTACGAGTGAGCTGCCAAGGGCAGACGTCACATGGCCCTCAGCTCTCAGGGTTAGGAGGGCCTCAGAAGTCCTTGCTTGGACCGCTGTTTGGTATCTCCATCCCACTCGTAACATTCTGGGGAAGTTCACCTTGACTGCACGCAGCAGCAAGAGAACAGACCATTTCCTGAGGCAGCATATTTCAGCTTTGCATGATTTTATTCTTTTAATGGGTTTACTTTGTTTCAATATACCCTCTTCCAAGAAAAATTTGAGACTTGTTTTGAGAGGGCCCCAGAGTAGCTGGAAGTTAGGCCACCATTACAGCCTGTCTGCTCCTGGCCCCTGACTTCCTGGAGGCCTGGCAAGGGGTGCAGCTAAGCGGGGACACCGTCGGCATGGCCTGTGGGGCTCCAGGTGGGGCTGTGCCCTCTGCCCAGAGCCCACCTGGGCCCCAGGCCCCTGGACACTGCGCTGCTGCCACACTGATTGGGACTATTAGGAAGTTCTTTCCGTTCTGCCTTGTACCTAAATTCCAAAAAAAAAAAAAAAAAAAAAAATGCAGCAGGTATTTGTGATGGGTCAGTTATTGTTCTTCTTGGGAGGCAGCTGAGGTGGTAACTGCCATGTCCTTTCTCCAGAATTCTCTGCTTCAGCCACCGTGTGGTGAGTTGGGAAGCTGCCTCTGCTCTGTGGAATCAGGCTGCAGCCCCAAGGTTGCACCGGTGCCGGCCTGGGCTCCCTGCCCGCCTCCCGCCTGCTTCTGTGCGGAGGGCCCAGGCTCTCTGGGTGACCGCTTCCCACCATGCCACCTCGGCTGGCTGTGCTTCTGGCAACAGGGCACGTGGCAGCGCCACCTCCCGGGCCTGGGTTTGACCGTGTCAGTGCGGGAGCTCCTGCCACTCGGGCGCTTGGCGCTGTGCTGTCAGCGAGCCACTGACCCGGAGGCTGGTTCCGCTGAGGCCAGCCCGCGCTTACCTGCCGCAGGCTGCGGGTCAGCATGTCCAGAGGGCGGCCGCACTGTATGTGTGCGCCTGCGAGTCCTCTTGTCTGCAAGCCTTTGGCCAGAGCCCGAATCCTTCCATTTCAGAGGCCCTAAATGTCTTGTCGGTTCCTTATAAAGCCCCGATTTGATACTGCAAAGGGGTGGAAAGCCAGGGTCGGCCTGCAGGACCCTCAGCTTATGGAGCTCGAAGCCCTCTGCATCTCCCATTTTCTGTCCTTTACCTTCGAAAAGGAGCCCTGCCTTCCCCACCCCAAAGCCCCGGCGTAGTGGGCTCTCCGAGGCATCGGGCGGGTGCTCGGCCTTGGTGTGTTGGGAGGATGGGCACCCCGTGACGGCTCCGCTGGCTGTCTTCTGTGCAGGAGGACCTCCTTGCGGCGTTTGACAGTGGAGACCAGAAGGCCTTCTTCGGCTTGTGGGAGGAGCACATCCCCGGGTCCCTCCGAGACGGCGACTCCCTCGCCCGGAAGCTGGAATTCTATCTTCACATCCATTTTGCCATCTATCTGCTGAAACACTCCGTGGGGAGACCCGTAGGTTCCCCGTGGGATGCGGGTTGGTCCCAGCAGCGCATTAAGGGAGAACGAGAGCGGCTTTCTTCCAAATGAGCTCTGGTTTAGTTTCACGGCCATTTCATCGCGTTGCTGAGGGCTAGGGGTCTTGTGTTCTGATGAAGGATTTTCCACCTCATTCCCAACAGTTTATTTTCTAATTTACATGGAGAGTTAACGATTTGTGTGATGAACGCTGCATGGTTTTCCTGAATACCTCAAGTTTCTGAAAACTCAGCATACATATACATACATGTATGTCTAAGAACACACATGTAGACCACATATTAGACCATATATTAGAAGAGAAATTTAGGGTAAACAGCAGGAAAATGTGCACCTATTCGTGCAAGTCCGTTCGAGCGCTGAGCTGGATTTAGCTTCCGCAGTCTTTTCCCAGGCAGGGCTGGAGACGTGCGGAGAGGGGAGGCTTGGAGTGCCGAGCAGCCGGTGAAAGGGGAGCAGGGCCGAGCTGGCACTTGACCACGGGCATTTGGTCAGTGGCTTCTCCAGGCATTGCCTGCCTCCCGAGGACCTGGGTTGCTTATTAAGCTGCCGGGGAGCCGCAGGAGGGCTCGGCAACGGGGGAGCAGCCTTCCAGTGTGTTGTCGTGGCCATTTCTGGGCAGTTGCTCCTCTGGGTGGTGCCCACGTGGGCCCAATTGTGAGAGCTTTTCATTGTCTTTGTAGTTATTTCTGCATAAGGTAAAGCAATAAGCATTGTAAATATTTTACGTCTGGTGGTCAGAAGAGGGCTTCACGACGGAGGAGCAGCGAGGGACATTGATCCGAAGAGCGGTCTTCCCCAGCACACGAGGCTGTGAGGGGTGACTGCGGAGAAATTTATTTATTTATATTTAGAGGAGGGGAAGGTGGGGAGAAAGCCTGAGAGAAATCTCGATATGCCTCCTGTGAGTCCCCAACGGGAGACCTGGCCCGCAACCCAGGCCTGTGCCCTGACTGGGGATCGAACTGGCCTCCCCCGTCAGGTCGCAGTCCGGTGCTCAGACCACTGAGCCCCCCCAGCCAGGGTCTCAGTTACCTTAAGGAAGAAAAAGAATGTGATATAGAAACTTCTATTTCAAAAAAACTGTTCACTTTAGAAACCTCTCCTAAGGGAATCATGGGAAGGCACACAAATATTTGTGATCTCTGAAATATGGCAACAGTGCCCATATCAAGTAATGGGGAATTGGTTAAATAAATTGTGGTAGACCCACAATACGAGGTTCGGTCTTGCCATGAACAATGATGTATATGACAAATTTTAAGGATGTGAGAATGGTAATAAAGCAAAAGGCAGCATATTGAACATGTATCTGTTCTCTGATATTCCCGACAGCTCTATGAAGGGGTGAAGTTGGGGCTGAGGGTAGAACGACCAGACAGCACACTTGCCCGGCCAGGTGGGGAGGCTGCTGGTGACATGGCCGCAGAGAGAGGCCAGGGTGGACGGGTGGACAGGGCATCAAGCAGGGGACCTGAAACGCACGTCTTCCCTTCCACGTAGGACAAAGAGGAGCTGGATGACAGGATTTCTTACTTCAAAACCTACCTGGAGACCAGAGGGGCGGCGCTGAGCCAAACCACAGAGTTCCTCCCTTTCTACGCCCTGCCTTTTGTTCCCAACCCAGTGGTGCACCCATCTTTCAAGGAGCTCTTCCAGGTCAGTAACAGCCTGTGACCGCATGTCACAGGCCGGGCAGCACTGCGGTGGCGCCTTGTTTATGCTGGCGGTGTCTGAAAGGAGCTGCACAAAGCGGCAGATGTGCTTCTGTTTTAGTGTAAGGCTGCTCGGATAACTTGCTCTGACACGCTTGTCTTGTGCCGCAAACCGTGATTTGTTTTGCCTCGCCCCGGGCTCGTCAGGCCGCCGTGACTATTTTTAATGGACAGCATCTTAAATCCTGTTGTGTGAGCATTTTCAGGATTGCAAGGACGAGGGATGCAACACGTTGACAATCAGCCTGAAAAAGAACTGGAGTATTTTGCACAATTGCCAGTGATATATATTTTGTTAATAATTTGCATTAACATTCTCACTCACTTGGCATATACTTGGCCACCTGATTTGTACTATTATTTCCATCAGCCTATTTGCCTACATCTCTTTTGTTATACTTTATTAGTTAACATTTCAGCATAATTACTAACAAAAGTTACCTATTATAGTAATTTTTGTTGACTTATAAAATTAATGTGTCCCCACTGAGAATTTTATTGAAATGTATGTTGAGCTTGAACTATTTCGATGTAATGGATTGCCTTTTCTAAAGACGTCACACTGTTTCCAAGAACCTATACGGAGCTTACCCCTCTGTCTTTAACCAACAGTCGCAGTTCTTCTGAGTCAGTGCATTTCGGTTTTCTGGTCCATTACGATTGAGTAAAACAACTTCCATCGCTCTTCCACGGCAGCTGCTGAACAGACTGTTGACTGATTCATCAAAGGCTGGTTGTGAAGCAGCCTAAGTTGAATTCCGTGCTTTCGTGTGTGTGTTTTCTTTGTTTGGCCAGTTCATGGCCAAACAAAGTTTGGTCAGGAGGAGATTTACCTCCTCCTCCTCCTCCTAAAAGGGTTAGGGCGGGGATGAAACTTAAAGGACGTTCGCTGTTCTCACAGCGAAGACCTGTGTTTATGGAATCACAGGGCTGCAGCCCAGCTGGCGCTGAGGCGGGGCCGAGCGGGGGCTAAGGGAGGCCGACGTGGGGCACGGGCGGCAGCCAGGGAAGGAGGCTGGCGCGGCTGAGGCTGCGGCACGCTCAGGAGTGAGAGGCCTCAGCGTTCATGGAGTCGGTTTGTTCCTTTTTCCCCCTTTTGCTGCTCTCTACGTGTGTTCTTCTAATGGTCGTCATAGATACATTAGTGTGTATGCATCATAAAAGCTAAAGCTCCCGCCTTTATTCTCTTCCTGACCATTTCAAGGACCTCAGAACGCATTAGCCTCGTTCAACCCCTGTCCAGTTTATGTGCTATTATTGTCAAATATTTTAGTTACTTCAATCCCGCAAGTTTGAATGTTTTGCTGCTTTATGTAATCAGTGTGTGTACAGCTGCCCCTCCCCCTTGCCAGTGTGCTGCTTCTACTCCGCCTCAGGCCGAGGACCCTCCGTCTGGGATCGCTTTCTGCTCCACGTTGAGCGCCTTCCTTTAAACCCCCTGTGGCTGCGGCCCCCTTGCTTCAGCTCTTGTCTGTCCGAAGGTGCCTTTACTGCGTCTCAGGCAGAGCTCAGGACAGCAGGCCCGCAGTGACCCTCTTCCCGCACCTTGAAAGTATCATTTCGTCCCCCAGCTCCCGCTGTTGCTGTTATTTCACCCCAGTGTGTCTAGGGGCACCCAGATATTTGTTTTGTTTTGTTTTTTAATCTGTCTTGATGTATGTTGGCCAACATCGCCACCCTTTCCTGAGACTCTTTTCTGTGTAGCTGAGCTCAGAGAGCCTAACTGTGTGCTGGTTTCCTGCGGCTGCCATAGCGGGACCACAGACGCGGTATCTTAAAACAACAGGGCCTGATTGCCTCTCAGCCGTGGAGGCCAGAAGTCCAAAATCCAGGCGTCCGGCCGCGGGGCCGTGCTCCCACAGAGCCGCCAGGGGAGGCTCCATCCTTGCCTCTTCCAGCTTCTGGAAGCTTCAGGTGTCACTTGGCTGGTAGCAGCATAACTCCAGTCTCTGGTCTGTCTTTACACAGCCGTCTTCTCTCTGTGTCTGTGTCTGAAATTTCCCTTTTCTACAGAGACGCCATTCATGTGGGCACTAAGAGCCCACCCTGCCCCAGCGCCACCTGAGCTAATGACGCCTTCCGGGCCCATCCCCCGTGACCTCGCAGTCTGAGGTGGGGGCGTCAACATACCTTTTAGGGCACACAGTTCAACTCCCAACACACACATTACAGATAAAATTATCATGTCGTGTCAGGGAATTACAAAATCTTTTTAAAATATGAGACTTTGCTTATCTGGCAGCATGTTTTCGAAAGCCTGGGAAGACCCTGGATAGCCTGGGTGGGGCGGGAGGCGTGGGTGAGGCTGTAGAGCGGGGCTGGAAAGGGGAAGGGTGGGAAGGCCTGTGGCTGTGGGGGGGGGGGGGGGGGGGGGCTGTCACAGAGGGGAGTGGGGAGGAATGTTTAGTGGTAAACAGCTTCATATTGGTGGGACTTCTTATCTATCTATCTTACCTATCTTATCTATCTTATCTATCTATCGAGCAGTAGATATCTTTGTACCAAGACTATAAGGGAAGTTGCCCTGAGAAAGATTGTTGCTTGTCACCCGTTTTTCTTTTACTACTTAAGTCATTACTTTTCTTTCTCAGTGTGTCTTATTTGAGATAAATGATTCCTGTTTAAGGGCCAGCTCAAAGTAAACGTACGTGGTAATTCTTGACAGGGCGGAGCCTCTGAGGGGCCGCCTTTTGTCCGCACTGAGGCGGGGTCTGTGGAAGCGGGCCCCCTTCCCCGGGGCACCGCCGGCGATGGCGGTGGCCATGCGTGCCCGCCAGCGCCACATCCACCTGAACGGGACTGAAGTCCTTTCAGTGTTGAACCTAATAAAGTTGCTGGTCATGCTTGTGTTTAAATCACATGAAGTACTCAAATCATGTACAGGGTTATTTTTTCCCTGTTTATGAAGAACTGTTTTTTCCCTGCCATGGATACTTGGCTCTTCTCTAAACGAACCGGCCGGCTGTCCGAAACCGCGTGTCTGACAGCGCCGGCCTATTGAGCCCGCCAGGCGCAGCTTGACAGTGCCGTTCATGTTCGGTGATCTACCTTTTATTTTATTTTGCTTTTTTTTCCCCTCTCTTCAGGAATCTTGGACTCCAGAATTGAAGTTGAAGTTGGAAAAGTTTCTGGCTTTAATTTTTAAAGCCAGCAACACACCGAGACTTTTAACATTATATGTATCCTTTCGAAGCTGAGGGAGACCTCCGTGGTGTCAGCGTGGCACGCGGGCGTAGACCGCCGCGCAGACGGGGCGACCCAGAGGGCTGCCGTCGGGGCCCGCGCTGCATGGAGCCCCGGTGGGAGGCCGTGCCAGGGCCCGAGTCGGGCCGACCTCCGTGGCAGAGGATCTCTGACACTGCCGTGGGCCTTCTTTCATGCCATGTGTTCTTGGAGCTGTGTTAGTAGGAAAGAAGTGTCTGCCTTTTTGGAAGAGAACTCCCTGGAATAACTGTCCCTTCATTGTAGAAGATCGTTCAAGCACTTTTAAGGCCTTGAGGCCCTGCTATTTGGGCCAAGTGACTTGTTTATCAAATCGGGTCTTTTTAAAAGACAGCTTTATGGAGGTGTAATTTACATACCATAAAAGTGTACAAGTTAATAACGATTTTTTAGCAAACGTATGGAGTTGTGCAGCAGCATCACACTCTAGTTCCAGGCAGACGCTTTTGAGAGTAAGCGGGGGCACGGGCTGGACAGGGTGCCTGCCGGGCAGCCCCAGGGGCACCCGGAGCCCGGCAGGGAAGGGTGGCGCGGTGGCCACCCACGCCTGGGAGGCCGGCTTTCCAAGCCTGTTAGTCATTAAGGACACTTCTCTCCTTTTATCTGAACGAGAATGTGTCACAAGTTATTTCACAACAAGAATATAACATTTGGAATTGTAAAGTGAGTATTTGTTCAAATGTAGTGAAAAATGTAGGCCGCGTTGCTGCCTGCTGTCTCCTGCCTTTCTAACTCTGAAGCATCGGACTCCCTTCTCCTAATAGACCCCTTGGTCCCTGGGGGCCCGTGGCCCATGTCGCCTTCGGCTTCCGTGGCCTTCGGTGGCTCCTGTCGCCTGAGACGGGGCGCGGCCTGCCCAGCTGCAGCTCTTCTTGCTGCCCCTGTAACCCTACAGTTTCATTCCAACACCTGCCTCAACCCCTACCCACCGGGGTGTTGGCACAGCTGATCTGTTGCCTCTCAGAGTTCCATATAAAATGACAGTTTTTAGTGAAATGAGGACTTTTGCAACCTGGCTTATGGTTATTTTAGTGTTCTTTTAAAAGCATTTCTCAGCTTAAACTTAATGGTGCCAATGTGTTAAGATTCTAAAAGAAGTTATTTACGTCCTAAATCATATTAGTTTTATTAATAAAAGCACCCACTTTATAGGAATAATACGAAGATTGAGTTAACACATAAAACTTTGCTTAAAACATCCATCACATCATAAGTGCTTGTTAGCTGTTAGTATTATAAATGTTTTTACATACTTGTCACTCCTCATCCTATTTGCCATGCTTTGAAGCAACTACATTTAAATATAGCAGGTAATTACAAACATTTCTTTTCCTTGTCACATGGAAATATCTGCAGTTCAGTTCAATACATATTAAACTGAGTATCAAGCTAGGAGTTAGGGATCCAAAAAAAAGGCCAGGACCTTGTTCTCTTAGTCAAGTTGGAGGTTTTCCTAAAAACATTTTTTTGATTTAACCGTTATTTTATTTTTTGTGTTACCATTTAGTCCCCTTATACTGCCCCTCCCCCCAAGTTGGTGTTTTAAACAATAAAATGGAGTCTGCTACACGGACAGAACAAGGGGGAGGGGCCGCAGGAAGAGGGACGGTGTGTGCAGAAGCCTGAGCCGGGCGTGGGCATGGGAGGCCGGGAAGGGCTTGCTGTGCGGAGCCGCAGGCCCAGGAGAGGGAGTCGGGGCGAGGCCGGGCCGGCAGGAAGGCGCGTGGGAGGGCCTGCAGGTGGCAAGGCGCCTTTGCAATGTTCTAAGGAGAAAAACACGGTCATGTTATGTTAATAAAAAGTCACTCCTTTTACTCCTGATTATAAAATGGATCGTATTCCTTACAGAAAATTTAGAAAGCACCAAAATGCATTTGCGTACAGACATGCACCCCAAAGGATGTGATGTTTACAATAAAAAGGGTAGATACTTGTATATATGTATGTATTTTTTAGGATTTTTATCAAATGAAGAGCGCATTTCCCTGATAGCATTAAATATTCTTCTTAACAGGGGTGTCCAACTTGCAGCCCAACCCAAAATTACAAATTTACTTAAAACCTTTTTTTTGTTCATCAGTTTTCGTTACTGTTTGTGTATTTAATGTATAGCCCAAGACATCTCCTTCCAGTGTGGCCCAGAGATGCCAAAAGGTTGGACATCCCCTAGCTGTGCACCCAAGAGAAATGAAAACATGTCCACCCAGCAACTTGTACCTGGAGGTTCACAGCGGTATGATGCGGAGGGGCCAAGAAACGCAGAGGACCCGACATCCATTGACTGATGGGTCGATAAATACAATGTAGTATAGCCACACAATGGATATTCTTTGGCAATAAAAAATGAATGAATCACTGATACATGTTGCAACATGTAGGAACCTTGAAAACATTGTTAAGTGAAAGAAGCCAAGAACGAAAGGCTGCATGTCATCCGATTCCATTTGTACGAAAGGCCCAGAAGCAGCCAATCTGCAGACAGTGGTTGGTGCTTGCCTAGGGCCAGGGAGGGTGAGGAGAAGAGGAGTGGGTGCTCATGGATGCAGGGTTTCTTTTTTGGGGCGATAAAAGTGTTCTACAGTTGATCGTATTGATAGTTGCACAGCTCTGAATATACAGAAAACCATTGAAATGTACACTTCCAATGGGTGAGTTATATATGTGCATTACATCTCAATAAAGCTGTTACCAAAAAAAAAAACCCAAAAAACAAAACCCTAAGAAAACCCCCATGAAACGGGTTCACTGCCTTGCTTCCAGTCTCGTGGCGGCCAGGTGTGCAGGAGCCGAGGTTTACACCAGGCCGTCCGGCTCTCAGGGCCTGTGGTCTCTGTTGCCACGCTGTGCCGTTTCCACCCCAGTCCCAGTTTCCTTAGGATGAAGGTTTAGCGCTGAAGTTACAGAGTTAAAGAATCTGAATTCAGATTTGCATTTTTAGTAAACGTCTTGGTACAGTGGGGAGGGTCTTTGGAAGGGAGTAAGGAGACCGGTTAGGGGGCCGTTGAAATAGGACAAGACTCGGATGCGCACAGAAGGAACAGGTGGGGAGAAGAGGATTTATCTGAGAACAAGCCGTCCAAGTGATGAGACGTCGGTAAGGGTCTTAGCTGTCCTGGCTGTTTACAGCAGCAGTGAGACGTGGCCTTCGCTGTCCCGAGGGTCCTCTCAGGTTGGCCACGCGAGGTCAGCGACCCACATGCTTCCCCAATGCCCATTTTCCTGAGCTTCCTTCTCACCCCAGAAGGAGAATGGACAAAGTCACAAAGGTGAATCAATTTTTAAAAGATTTTATTTAGAGGGAAAGGGAGGGAGAAAAAGGGAGAGAAACATCCTACAAGAGAAACATCAGTGGGTTGCCTCTCATACGCGTCCGGACCAGGGACCAGACCCACAACCCAGGCGTGTGACCTGACTGGGAGTTGAACCGGCGACCTTTCATTTTGTGGGAGATGCTCCAACCAACTGAGCCACCCTGGTCAGGGCTAGATTAAAATTTCTTCAATAACTTTGCCACCTCAAGTTTTAAGTAGTGAGATGGAGAGAATTCCACAGATCTGGAAAAGGAAGGCTTTAAATGTCTAAATGTTTGTGAAGTGCTTTGCAATCATTTTTATCTGAGATTCCTTGAGGCCCACTGCTCAGGGAGGCTGGTGTTTTTTAGCTTCGCCTTGCACGTCAGGTGAGTAAGACGGGGAGAGAGAAGCGAAGCCAAGCACCGTGCCAGTGTAACTCTAACGGTACTGCCAGGAACGCCACGGGGCTCGGGAGGAGTTCTCTTAGCATCTTCACTTTGGCCTTGAACCAGTCTAATAGCAGCATGGAGTATCCATGCCTTATGGAGCATTTCCATTTTTTACCTTCCAAGGAGGAATTCCAGTCTTAATTTGCTTAGCAAAAAAAAATGATGGTTTTCCATGATTAGTCATTTTTACCAGAGCTGTTCATTTTGCAGAAAGGTGAGAAAACCTTTAGTTAACATGAAATTGGAAGAGTTGGGGCTCTTTGCCTGAGTTTGTCTTTGACACTGCGTCATGAAAACCGCTTGAGTGGCTGGGCCGATCGGCCGAGTGCTGGAGAGAGCGTGCCACGTGCTTTGGGCTGAGCCCGAGTGCCGCTGGCACCGCCCGCAGTTCCCAGCTGGCGCACGAAATAGCACATCTGCCCTTTCCACGCAGAGGAGTGTGAGCGAGGGTTTCAAATCTTCCTGCCTCTTTTCTTCATGTGTCTTTTTAGGGAGTGAGTTCTGTAACGAAAGGAAGCCTTGGTGAAGGAGTTAGCTCTTTGCCTTCCAGGGAGTTGACACATGAGCGCTGCTTTAGTAGCTTCAGAAGGGAAGAGTTTAAATGTTTTTGCCCTTGGTAGCCTTGCAAGTCCCAGCCCAGCAGTTCTGAATTCTGGGTCTGCCACCTGTCCCACCCCTCCTGCAGCTCAGGGGACAGACCCCGCCGACCCTTCGCGGAGAAGCTGTGGTCCTGTGCCCGAGCACAGGGGAGCAGGGAGCAGATGGGGCTCCTGAGGTCAGCGGGAGATGGGCCCTGGGTTGTGCAGCCTTGGAGCACCTTGAGGGCGCTCCAAGCACACGTACGTGAAAGGTGTTCTAGAAGGAAGACTTTAAATATCACACAGAGCCGGGATTGGGACAACAGTGAGTGAACTTGGGTTTCTCCCATCCAAAGTGTAGCGTTGCAGGGAAAGGGGAGAAGTGGGATGGGGCCGGGAGCAAGGACACCGCTGAAGATGCGCCTTTTCGTTCCCACAGAGCCTGGCGCCGCGCGGCCAGCAAGTGCTGCCCATAGGGAGGGCGCGGGGGGATTCTAAGAAGGAACCTAGAACCTTCCCAGGCTACCTGCGCTAAGTGGGGTGGTTTATGCTTTATCGAACTGGCAGAATGAGCACCTGGAATCTTCTAGATTCTAGTTTTCTCCAGTGTCAGCCAAGCAGCCCTTACTTAAAATGACGAACTGTCCTGCAGTTACGGATTGTCCCCCAAACAACCTCACAGGGCAAAGACAAAGATGTGGGTTTGGTTCAAGTGTTTTGTGACCTAATTATGGAAAGAAATGCTGAGTTTGTTTCTTGTACCTAAAGAGAACTAAAAGAAACTGCGTGGGGTCCAGTCTAGGAAATAAATAGATTTTGTTAGGAAAACCAGAGATGATTCAGTTGAACTACCAGAGACAAGAGATTAAAAAAAAAAAAAAAAAAAAAATCAGTGATTGCAAAGCACTTTGTAACTAAATGTGTCCTGAAATAGAAGTGTTAAACACAAACAGTGTCAAGTTCATTGTTATAGCAAAATATGATAGGACACATGGCACTCCCTTCAGAAAAATGTAATTTTTTATTTTATGGGGTTATTACTTGTTTCATTTTGACATAAATATAAATGTCTTCCTAGAAATGTTGCAGCACCTCCACCAGCAGCTGGTGGAAGCTGAGCGGAGGTCGATGACGTACCTGAAACGGCACAACAAGATCCAGGCAGACTACCACAACCTCATCGGCGTCACGGCGGAGCTGGTGGACTCTCTGGAGGCCACGGTCAGTGGCAAGATGGTAAGGAAGGTCCCCAGTTTCATGTCTTTTCGACATAAGGGTGTTTTATGGGCATGGACCGAGTTGGCACTCGGCCACGCCCAGCCACGCTCTTGCCCCGCTGTTTCTCAGCGCCAATGTGTGCACTGGAGCCATGTGTTTCTCAGGCCGCCTGCCATATTTCATACCTTTTTCCTGACATGTTAATCTCCCAAGTCTTTATTTCTCTACCTGATTCTTAATGTTAGCCAAGAACAAATTGGCAATAGAAAGAAATTGTGTAGTGGCATAGGAATAAAGTGGGATACTCTGCCAGTAGATAGGAAAGCTATAGATTTTCTTTTTTTCTAATTATTTATTTATTGATTTGAGAGAGAGAAAAACTTTGATTTGTTGTTCCACTTATTTATGCCTTCATTGGTTGCTTCTTATATGTGCCCTGACCAGGGGCTGAACCCATGACCTTGGAATATTGGAACAACACTCTAACCAAGTGATCTACCTGGCCAGGGCCTAGATTATCTTATATTGATTTTGTATCCAGCTATCTTTCTAAACTCTGTTTATCTGATAGATTGTTTTAATCGATTCTCATGTGTTCTAGATTGGCAGTCATATCATTCTGAATAATGTTCCTTTTGTTTTGCTTCTTTCATTATTTATCATAACTTTTTTCTTAGCATGTTGACTAAAACATTGGGACATTGTTAAGTAATGTAATCGTGGGCACCTTTGTCCTGTTTCTGACTTCAGTGGGAATGACTCTAGAGTTTTTCATAATAAAAAGTAGAATGCACAATAAAATCTCTCTGTGGAAATACAATTTTTAAGAGATGGATGTGATTTGAAAAATGTAATCCATTTTTTACAATGAATGTAATGTGACAGGGGGAAGGTCTCGCAGTCATTGCAATGGAGGTGGCAGGCGAGGCTGGAGAAAAAGAGAAGCACGTTTATCTTCTGCCTCCCTTCTTATTAAAAAAATACTTGCCATCACCCCGGTGTGCCTGGTGCAGCCAGGATGACCGGACGCCAGGTGTGGCACACTGGCCGGGGCGGGCCTGCGAGCTCCATGGCGGGAGTGTGCAGGCCGAGGCCGCCGACCAGCGGGCTGCGGCAGAGGGGCCTCCGGTATCAAGGCAGAGAGCGGACTCTTAACCAGCTTGTTTTTAATAGAAAAGAAATACATGCTCATGGGGAAAAACTGAAACAATTCAGAGGAGGATATAGTAAAGAGCAAAAGCCCCCTCCCATACCCAGTGCCTTAGCCTCGCTCCTTTATGGATAGTCAAGAGTAACGTTTTCTCCTGTATTATTCTGGAACACTCCTGTATGCAGGCCTGTGTGTGTCCGCGCCCAGCAGCCCGCGTGCACGCAGCCCGCCCAGGCCTCCTTGGGATCCTGTGACCCATTACTCTTCCGAAATGCCGTTCCGCTTCCGATACGTCTTGGAGGCCTTTCCCACTGCCCCTCGTTCTTTGTAATGCCTGTGCCCTCTCCACTGTAAGGGGGGGCCGCAGCTTGTCAGCTCTCTGACGGTGAGCGTTTGGATTTGTTTGCTGTAGCAAAACTGTCACCATGAACATTCTTGTATCTACTGTATACTTTCGAACACAGGTGAGATAAGATCCTAAGGGTGGAATTGCTAGGTCGAAGGCTGTGGGCATTGGTAGATACACCGAACTGTGTCCCCTAAGATTTCAACGGTGCCTGTGCGCCCTCGACGCCCCGCAGGGTGTCGGCGGGCCTGTCTCTCTGCACTCTTGCCAACACAGACGTGATTATATCCTGAGAGCTTTGCCAGCTAGGTAAGCAAAACTTAGTCTTCTGAAGGTTTCAATTTACGTTCCTTTAATTATGAAGGAGGCTGAGTATATTTTCATGTATTTTTTGCCTATTTATATTTTGCTTTTTAGTCCATTTCTTTCTATCCTTTCCTCATGCACCTGTTTTAAGCAAGAAGGTAGCATAATCAAACTCCCTTGTAAGAGAAGTGGTTCCAGAAGTCGAGGGAGGAAACAGTGTCAGGAGAGAGGGGTTGACCCAAAGTCTCAAAAGCCACAGAAAACTCTAGAAAACTATTATAGAACTGAAAAGCATCCAGTGTTTTGAACATTGAGAAGGGCATTGGTTGTGCTTTAACTCCCAAGAGCTCCTACGTTAAAGCAAGATGTCACCCCTGGACCTTACAGAGAGCCTGTTGGGGGACAGCTGGGCGTGCCCAGTGCCTCCGCGGTCCCCGGGTGAGTCTCGTCCTTTCACCGGCTGTCCTCGTGTCCTCTTCACAGATCACCCCCGAGTACCTGCAGAGCATCTGCGTCCGCCTCTTCAGCAACCAGATGCGGCAGAGCCTGGCGCACAGTGTGGACTTCACGAGGCCTGGGACGGTGAGGCTCTGTGCCCCTGGCCTGCACCCCTGCCCCCTTAAAATAACAAAACTGAAAACCTGGAAGGGCAGCGGAAAACAGCATTCAGGAGTCTGCGCCTCAGTGAGCTTTGGGGGTCTAAGAGTTCCCAGGAGGAAAAGAAAGCAGTTTTAAAAAAGCGAGTAGCTGGAAGGTGACCTCCTAGGGCCCGGGGGGGGGGGGGGGCGGGCGGTGCGGCACGGTGTGGGTGTGGGGGGCGGCTCCGCCCACTGGCGCTGATGCTGGTAGGTCCCAGGGCGGCACCGGAGCGAAGCGGTAGGAAACCCAGGGAACTGATTCTCTCTCTGAAGTAGTGGAAGTTGTGTGGCCTGCGGCAGGGACCCCCTCCCTCCCAAGTGCTAACCGTCCGACCCTGCTTGGCTTCCAAGATGAGGTGCTCTCCGCGTGGTTTGGCTGTAGACAGGGCAGGGACTGTCTCTTCTTTTATAACTTTTTACTTGGAGTAATTGCAAATACAGCAAAGTTGCAAAAAGAGCACAGAGTACACTTTGTATTCCCTTTACCCAGATTCAACTGTTGGCAGTTTATTCATTTGTTGGTTTACTTTCTCTACACACATTCTGTTTTCTGAACCATTTGAAGACAGATTACTGAAGAGTTTATTCCTAGTGTATTTCTTTTTTTTCTTTTTCTTTTTGATTTTATTTTTTATTTTTAGAGAGAGGGGGAAGGAGGGAGAGAATCCCTCCTTCGATGTGAGAGAAACAGCGATCAGCCACCTCCCTCACGTGCCCTGACTGGGGACTGAACCTGCGACCCAGGTCTGTGCCCTGACAGGGAGTCAACCCGGGTGTCCTTTTGCTTTGCAGGATGACACCCAACCAACTGAGCCACACTCGTCAGGGCAAGCGTTTATTTCTTAATAGGAGTATTATCTTACATAACCATATGATGTCAACTCCAGTAATTGAATACTGATTCCATATTCTTATCTAACCTGTGCATTTTCCAGTTGTGGGAGTCGAGCCATTTGTGTCCGTTACAGGGCTCTCCCTGACCCTGGTGGCCGGGGCTCGGGGGTCGCATGGTCGTCGCATCCCTTTCGCCTTCTTTACTCTTGAACGTTCCGCGGTCTGTCTTTGTCTTCCGTGACATTGACATTTTAGGAGAATATGGTTCTTCCCCTCTTTTAGAAATAGAACATGTCTCCTCTTATATTTGATGTTTTCTTGTGATTAGATTCAGGTTTGCATCCCAGGCCAAACTGTTGCGTAGGTGATGCTATGTCCCCCTGAGGATAGCTCACCAGGAGGCGCGTGGTGTTGAGTTGGGAGCCTTAACCAGGGGGGGTGAGTGAAAAACACCCGGGGAAGTTTTTGAAGTTCATGAACCCACGGCCCTGGAGCTCACACCAACCTGCTGCTGGTCCAGAGACTGAATGGGTGCAGCCAGGGGCGCTCGACTAGGTAGGAAGTGCCGGGGGCCTGGAGGTGCCCCCCTCCCGGGGCAGGGCCATGACTTCTAATTAAGGGTTTGCATATTACTGTTAGCATCTTCACAAAATATTAGGGCCTTTGGTAGCATTAAAAAGTAATTTATTCCCTACCTCATTCTCAAGTTGGTTTGAAGAAGGTTATTATTATAGTATGAGGAAACACAAATATGAGAAATTTAAAAAATGGAAAATAGAAGTAAAGAAACTGTGGTTAGAATGCGTGAGAACAGAAAGCAGGTTGGTATTTCCTGTGGCTGAGGGGATGGGAGAGTGGGGAAATGCTGGTCTAAGGGTGAGACCTGCTGGCTGTAAGGTGAGTAAGTTCTGGGGATCTGCTGTGCAGCAGGGTGATTACAGCTGACAGTGCTGTGTTGTGTACTTGAAAAGTTGCTAAGGCAGTAGATCTTAAATGCTCTGAGTGCAAGAAACAAAAGGTAACTGTGAGGTAATGGATGTTAACTAACCTTATGGTGGTGATCATTTCACAATATGTACATGTATCAGATCATCCCATTGCACACCTGAAACTTACACAGGGTTATATGTCATTATCTCAACAATGCTGGGGGGGAAAAGTAAATTGCCATTAAAGGAAAATAAGGGTAGGAATAATAAAAGCAAGCCAGAGCTAAGGCCAGTGCAACAATACATGTCACAGGAGGCTGCACACCTGGAGAGACAGGCTCGGGCTGGGCTCTGAGCTTCGCAGCAGCGTGTGCGAAGAAGGGACCTGTGAGCAGTTACGTGAGTTACTTATCAGGAAGAGACAATAGTTCTGTGTTATTTATTATGTAGTGTTTGCTGCCTCCAAGTCCTTGTGTGACGCACGCAACCTAAAAAGCCCAGCAGTAAAATGAATGCCCAGCACACATTCCTAGAACAGGCCATTTCTATGTCACTGGGGTTCCTGATGTGCCCTTTAGACCGTGAGCTTGTCCCAAGCAGGCGTATTACTATTATCATTTAAAAGCAAGGTGAGGCACATTTCTAAAAGAAGGCAGGTGATCAAACAGCTGCTCCCCAGAGTTATTCCAGTGCCTAGCCCTGAGGGTTGTTCCTCTCGTGGATCTTTACAGAAAGGACATAGAAACATGGCTACAAGAGTGGAGGTCCTTGACCACACCCCCGAGGTGCGTGCGGAGGTGGCCCAGGGCTGCGGTGTGTGAGGACTGCACCACGTGGGGACACCTGGCGTTTGAAGCCGCAGAGTCTGTGTTTCGAGCTGAGAGACGCAGCCGTTTTTTTTAATGTCAGTAAAGCACAAAGAGACACCGGGGTTTCAGAAAAGGAACCTCCTTGTGAGCCCTCCCGCGCCAGGATGCGGGGCTCGAGCCACACCCAGAGGACTGGCTGAGTAAAGGCCGTTACGGAGCCGAGTGTTGACTAGCGAAAGTGGTGGCTGTTCAGCAATAATAGCCTAGCAGGGTCTGTGTCTAATAGGACCACTCCTTTCTTCCCTGCCTTCCATTTATTTTTTATTTTTTCAAAGATTTTTTAAAAAGAATTTATTTATTTCTTGTTAGAGAGAGGGGAAAGGAGGGAGAAAAAGAGGGAGAGAAACATAGATGTGCAAGAGAAACATGGATTGGTTGCCTCTTGCACGCCTCTAACTGGGGACCTGGGCCACAACCCAGGCTCGTGCCCTGACCAGGAATCGAACCGGTGACCTTTTCGTTTGTGGATGACACCCAACCCACTGAGCCACACCAGCCAGGGCCCTGCCCTCCATTTATTTACTAATTCAGCAAAAATTTAGTTTATTCCAGGTTTGTGTTATCAAACCCCATCCTGTCTTGTATATGCAGGAATCCCTGTATTTCCTTTTTCCGATGGTGGAGTGGTGTGTCCAGCCTATTTAACACTCTTCTCTTGTTAATAAGGAGCAGTTTAAAAGGGAGAGGGGCTCAGCCTAGCTGACATTTTCCCCCTTAGAAGCTAACATTTGTCCACAGCTAGTCCTGCCACCCTTCCCTGTTCCAGAGCCACAAAGGTGCAGCCCCTCGGCCCCAGAAGCGGGGGGACGGATGAGCTCTGTCACCTGGACACACAGCCTTCCCTTTTTACTGGCCATGAACTTAGGAACAGTCAGTAAAAGCTGCCAACAATCATCTGTCCTTGCTATGGGTGTGGGGTCATGGTAAAAGCACAAAAGAACATTGTCGTTGATTAGGCATAGCTAGAGTCGATGTATGCTATCAGATTTAGAATGTATGAAGAGGAAGTTAGGGGACAGTTTAGACGGGATTTCTAGTGACCGAACTGATGGGATTTAGGATTTGGAAGAAGAAGGAGGTTGTTCTTTAATTTTTTAAGGGAATAAAGTCTACTTTAAATCCAAACAGTACTATTAGTTTCAAGATCAATAGATGGGCACAGACCAGCCTCTTTTTCGGCGTGTCTTGGCCAGCCCCTCCGGGGGGGCTTTGCTGGCCTTGAGTGTTGCGGTCCATTGCACTCTGAAAAGGGGCTTGGCTGGGGCCCATCAGAAAACTGCTAGTATCTGTAACGTTTGGTACATTTTGACAAGGGCTTTTGAATTTGGCTGGTAACAATCTGGTCTTCTGCAACTTCACTCACTGTTGAAAGTTCAGAAGGGCTCAGAAAATAGCTCCCTTCTTCCCCACCGAGTTCTGTACCAACTGAAAAATAGGACAAAGAATAAAGGGAAGAGCAGCTGAAAATATCTTGTTGATACTGACAAAGCTGATATTGGAGAATATGGATTTTATTTGTAGGTAGTGGGCTTCCCTTTTATTTTAAAAATGGCATTCTGTTCAAGGGTCTTAGGGTTTGCAAATTGATAACATACCTAGGGAATACCTAGAGTGTTCCAAAGGAGAAAGAGAAGTTTTTTAAATAGTAAAAAGCACACGTTCGAAAACAGTAGCTCCTGGGAGGTAACCCCCCAGCTGCCCAGTGATCTGGGTGATGGATGCCAGGTGGTCCGAACTGGAAACACTCCTTCTAAGCACGGCAAGTAGTTACCTTGAGAGATACATATATTCCAGCACATGAACATTCTTTTTTAAGTTCTTTAGAGGTTCATCTGTGGCGTTTAGGCATATCCAGGAAACTGATGGTTTCCTCCTTTTGAACCCTGGAATTAAGGAAATGTACCCACCCGGCCATGGGCAGCTCTGAGCAGAGTTGCCCCGTGCTCTCCGGGCAGGCTCATTGCCTGGAATAAGGGGGGCAGGCAGGGTTGGGGGGAAAGATCAGCCTGGGGGAGGCCCCCTGGAGGACCTGCCGTGAGTGGGAAGAGACATGTTTCCATTCTACCCGGTTCACGCCCCGAGAACTGTGTCCCAACATCTGCCCACCTTGGCAACACCAGCGGTCAGACCCAGGTGCTAATATTGTTCCTCCTACTGGGTTAGATGAGTAATTTTGCTGACATTTCAGACTTGTTTTCTGAATTCCTTACTATTTAAACTGACAACAGGAATAGGAAATTCCTTTAATCAAAAAAAAAAAAAATCAAGGGTTAAAAAATATAAAAACGTATATGATCAGGAGCCATTTGAAAGGAGGGTTTGATGGCTCACTCCCAGATGGGAACCGGCCCTGGAGTCTCTCTGAACAAACAGAGGGAAGCAGCGGAGAGAAGCACCGTCAGCGAGGGCCAAGGTGGGGCTCCGTCAGGGTTCCGGAGCACCCACCTTCGGAAGTCAGCCTTTGTTCACTCATTCATTCAGCAAATGTTGCTGAGTGCCCCTGTTTGTCCAAGCACTGTCCCAGGTACTGGGGACACGCTGCCACATCTCCAGCCGGTGTGGAGCTCCGCATCTGCTGAAAGAGAGAGACAGAGAGATCATTGCAAAATAGCCGCCAATCCATAGGCTAAGCGTGGACAATTACCATTTGAGTTCTGTGCTGACATGAAGGGCCCTGCCAGCGACTGAGGTTTCCTCCCTTCTCTGCTTATGTATTTTTTTTTCCTGGAGTTCTTTAAAACCTACTGCAAACATTGTCTCATTTCACCTGTAGATAATTCAATAGTATCTCTAACAGACAAGGGCTTTAAAAAACAAACCAGAATGTAACCCAGTGCCTGATACAATAAACACGTAATTCCTTAGTATTATGTAATATCAGTGTAGTCCATGTTCAGATGTCCCAGCTTCAAAATATTTTTTTACAATTGGTTTGAGTCGACCCAAACAAGTGCCACACACAGCATTTGGTTCTGTTTTAGTTCATGTTTAATAGAGCATTGCCTGTAGTAGCCAAAACAAACAAACAAACAAACCAAAAACCCAAACCCAAAACACCAACTACAACGTGAATGCGCATAAAGTGGGCAAGGATTTGGCCTACAGGCAGAATTAAAGGGGAGTGGGGTGGGAGGGAGATTGTTCATGTTTTTCTATAAACACGCCTATAGTGTTTGCATTGGTACAAAGTACAACACGTATTCAAAGGTAAAATCTTAAAGAAAGGAACAGGATAATTGAGTGATTGTCATTGCTTCCTTCTCCCGCTGCCTCTGACCAGGCAGCTCTAAGCGCCTCTGGGAGTCTGGCTGGGAGAACCCGCCCTTTTATCGCTCATTCCTTGAGGCGGCTTGGGAAATACGTCAGTAGTGTATTGATTAACCTTGGCTTGGGCTAATTTTTAAATCCTAATTGGTCATGGTTGGAGAATTCTGGTGGACCCAAAATTTTGCAAGCCCGTTGATTTTGTACTGTTATTGGGGTTTAGGATTAATGCATTGCCACCCATGTTTAATACGGTCTTTTTCCTTCTGTTCCCTCGCCCCCGCCCTTCCAGGCTTCAACCATGTTAAGAGCCTCCTTGGCACCCATGTAAGTAATCGCTCTCAGAAATCGTTCTTATGGGCAACAGCTGTGGGTAAAACCGGAACTCCAAGCAACGTGCATAAACGTTCACGCGAGCAGCCGAGCCTAGAGGGATGCGTTTGATTAGCTAGAGCTCCAGGTGGACGGTGAAGGACACACCAGGAATTACCAGTGCGGTTGTTAAACCAGAAGTATATTTTAATGTTAATTCTATTTATTTTGGTGAGGTAGCATCAAATGGAAAAAACTGCGGGATATTTCCTATAATCTGTAGAAGTCAGCGTACGGTCACCAGACAGTCCGCAGAGCCTTGCAGTGTCTTAAGTCCTACGTACTCTGCCGAGGGGCCGCAGGGCAGCTGCGTGCGCGCCTGCGCATTCCCTTCCGGTCTGTTCGGTAGTCGCTGTGCGGGAACTTCTTCAGGCGTGTGTGTCGCACCAACAGGAAGTTGAGAGCCATGACACGGCGCTCCTCCCGCCTCCGCCCTGCCCGCGTCTGGCTGACCCTCCCTCTGTCCTCTCTGGGTGGCCGTGTGTAAGGGAGCGCTTCTGGGTGCGCTGCCGGGCTAAGAACCCCGCCTCTGCCGCCCTCGCCGTGACCTTGAACTCACGGAACTTCTCCGTGCCTCAGCCTCCTCACTTGTAAAATGTGAATAATGACTAACTATATTACAGGATTGTAGTGCGAATAAAAATGAGTCACTACGTACAAAGCGCTTAGTGCAGTGTTGGGGACTTAACAAGCTCTCCGGGTGTTTGCTCCTGTTACCCCCAGGGGCCTGAGAGGCAGGGTGACTGGCAGAAGGTAAAGGCGGGTAGTTGGCGGAGAGGGCGCCAGGCCGGACCGCGGAAGCTGGAGGCGGCGGGGGCGGGGGCGGGGGAGGCGTGAGCGGCTCCGCTGGCAGGCAGTGTGGTTGGTAACATCGCCATTATTAGGACCCAAGGATGACGGCGCTTGTTCCCCCGATAGCGCCCCAGCCGCATACACCAGCACTGCCAAATGGGGCTTCACAAACGGGGCTTTTTTTGTCTGGAGCAAGAGATTATTCAAATTTTAGGTTAAAATATTTTTAAATTTTGAAATAATTCCAGAGTTGCAAAAATAGTACAAAGAATGTCCTTGTGCACTTCACCCAGATTCCCCAGCGTTAATGGCTTACGCAAGCCCGGCACAGCTACCGGGGTCAGCTGACCCACAGCGCTCGCTCCCGTCGCCCGTGCCGCTGGCGCCCTGGTCTGGCCCGGCATCCCCGGAGGACCCGTCGGCCCTTCGACGTAGCCGTCCCGTCGTAGTTTCCTTTCGTTTGAAATCGTTCTTTGGTCGTTTTCTTTCATAGCCTTGACACTTTTGAAGGGTACTGGCCAGTTATTTATCAATGAAATTTAAAACGTATCTTTATTAGTTTTTGAATTCACAATAATATCTGTCTCAGGAAAAAAAACGCGGCAGGACAATCAGTGTGCCCGCGTGCCTGGGTCTCCCGCGTGGTGTGTGGCCGGAAGCAGCTGCTCCTCAGCGCGGGCACTGAGGCCTCATTTGCTGACCTCTTTTCTAGTCTTCTCTTCCAGGCCCTAGGAGAGGATCTCATTTTGTCTTTTAAAACGTAACAGTAAAAAAAACTAACGTAATTTTTCCCTCTGTTGTAATACACGCTTATTATAGAAAATGTGAATGCTGTAGAAACACAGGAAGAAGAACGTTGAAAATTCCTGAAATCTCACCCCCCAGAGGCACTGGCTCTGTTGCTGTTCCACCTTTGCACACACGGAGCCCTGCGTCTTTAGTCTTCCCACCGAATCCTTCACGGATCCCCATTTGTTACTGTACAGGGAGCCTTAATGTTTCCTGCATGGTATTGGGAGGATCATATTTTTGTTTTTTAGTTTCTTTATTTTGAAGCAATCACAGACTCACAGGATTGTTGAGTTCCCTGGCCCCCTCGGGGGTGACTTCTTTTTTAAATCCTTACCCAAGGATTTTATTTTATTTTTTTTAATTGCCTTTAAAGAGAGAGGAAGGGAGAGAAAGAAAGAGACAGAAACATTGACGTGAGAAACACCGATTGGTTGCGTGTGCCCTGCCTGCGAATCAAACCCACCATCGTTTGGTTTATGGGACGATGCTCCAAGCAGCTGAGCCACACTGGCCAGGGCGTGAGGTGACACCTAACATGACTGTGATATAGTAACAGAACAAAGGGGTTCACATTGATACAGTACTGTTAACCAGACCCACAGACCACATCACATGTTCATCGGTTTTACAATGCACGGCAGTCTTCTATTCAATAGAACAAGACAGATTGGGAAGAGACCTGGTTTAGTGACAAAGCCTCTGAGGTGGTTCCTTTAGCTTCCAGCCGACCACAGCAGGCCTTGGGTGACCGGCGCTGTGTAGGTCTCTGATCCGAGATCGCCCCTTGTTGAAACCTGGCCGCCCCCAAGGTCTTCAGCTTGGAGTCTTCTCAGGGAGGGTCAGCGAACTGTCCTGCTTACTGTCTGCCTGACAGACGTGTCCCCCTGGCCGCTTCCTCACCACGCCCTCTGTCCCCACGGAGGGCCAGCTGTGCCCCTGACGCCCGTCTGTCCTCACAGTCTCCCCGCTCGGGCCCTCAGTGAAGGGTGTGACGCCCGCTGGGCCATCTCATCCTCATCAAGGGAGCCCTGGCCCGAGGCGAACGCAGTGGTTTCTCAACGGTGCAGGCAGGGCGTCCTCGCTTCAGGGAGAGAGTGCTCCAGAGCCCTGGTACCTACGGCAGGAAAGGCAGAGCTGAGCAAGTTGCAGCTGGGGTGGGGGGCCTGGAGCCCAGGCCTCTCTGAGAGCCTGGAGTTAATTCTAGGGGCGGGGGGTGCACACAGCTGGGCCTCGGCAGGTCCCTGAGCTCTTGGCGACTCTAGGCGGGATGTTGAGATACCCAGGAGCTATGGTGAACTTGCCCTTTGCCCTCTTCTTTCCCTTTGTGCTGCTGAGTAGGAAGTTGAAGGATGTTCCATTACTACCGTCCTTGGATTATGAGAAACTGAAGAAGGATTTGATCTGGGGGAGCGACCGCTTGAAAGCTTTCTTGCTGCAGGCTCTGCGCTGGGTATGTGCCTTCCCATGAAGTTAAAAAAAAAAAAAAAGGAGGGGGGGAGCTGGTTTGCTTGGCTGCTCCCTAGCTTGCGTCTTTTAACCCAGCTCCCAAAGCTCTTTCTCCCTGCTGCCTGCTGACACCAAGAGCTAAAGTAAGAGCAGCTTCTGACTCCCTCGCCTGCCATGGCACCCACTTAAAAAGTGCATTGTACTCTCCTATTAACCGACTGGTGGGCTGCTTACCTCCCCGGGACACCCTGATTTTGTTTGGTTAAATGTGTAGTTACAGGGCCTGCCCGCTCTGTGAACAGTTTCCTCTGCAGTCAGCTTTTCCTTCACTGCTTTTGCTTTTCTTCCGTCCAGCGCTTGACCACGTCCCACCCTGGAGAGCAGAGGGACACCGTGCTGCAAGCCTACGTCAGCAACGACCTCTTGGACTGTCACAGCCACAGCCAGGTCGGTGGGTGATGGGCCAGGCCCAGCAGGCCCGTTTCACGCGAATGGTGGGGGCAGGTTGCGGGGGCGGGAACAGGGCGTCCGTTTCTCTGCACATTTTCGCTCTGGTGGCCGTTTGTCAGCCTTGAGCTTCCATTGGCGCCTTGGATCTGCTCTTCACCCTGGATGTGGCCCACGTGTCACTTCTAATAGAGTCCCCAACAAGCTGGAACTACTCGATTCCATCCTGGAGCTCTGCTCTGTCATTTTTCGTTTTCTCAAGTTCCTAAATCTTTCCTTCACCCCGTTTCCCGTGAGTCCTGGAAACCCATTAGGACGTGTGGCAGGCCACGCAGGTAAGCAAGTCCAGTGTTTTTCGTCTCAGCCTGCCTTAAAACGTGTCCCTAACACCACATCTGTCTATAGCTATGGACCACGTAGTAGGAAAAGCCTGGGATTTCAGTGAGATGAACTGATTTCAGACGTCCACGCCCCCCGCCCCTATACATGGCCCTGAGTGTGTCCCTCTCTGGGAGTGCCCCGTCTCTGGGGAACAGCCAGCACCTGCCTCAGGAGGTTGCCTGGGTGACTGCCTGGGGGTACGAGGTGGGGGCACTGAACTCAGGGCCCAGCACTGAGTGGTCAGGACCCAGTCCCCACCTCCCACCCTCTTACCTGTCACCAGCACCGGCCTCACTGGCCAGGAGGCGGATGGAGGTCTGCAACATGGCTTCTGTGTCAGGAAGACCCTGCATTTCATGGTTTCAGTTAAATAGTTATCTTCCTGTTGTTAAACTTCAGGGAGGGGGCACGGAGTGTCAGCACTTTTTGAGGTCACTGATGAAACAGCGCCCCTGAGAGCTGACTGCAGCGCCCCTGAGAGCTGACTGCGTGGTAATCTGTCGTGCGCATGGGCAGTAGCATTCGAGTTTCTAGTCTCCAGTTGCTTCTTTGAATTTAGTCTTATCGTTCCCAGGAAAGAGTAGTGTTTGGTTTGAAAAACAGTCTCTCAAATTCTGGACTTCTTTTTTTTCTGTTTGTGTTTGCAGTGGCATTGAAGCCATGAGGCATGGAGCAGCTGAATAATACACTGTTATGACTATAAACTCAGATTCAAACAGTAAATTCAACACTGATTCTTTCTGAACTATGACGTTTCATTGACTCTAAGGTGCACACGCCCATTTAGCATCTCTGAAGTCAGACTGTGTTTCTCAGTCGGTGTTTAAGATACAGTTTAATTGGCAGTGCTTATTTCTTTCTTGGTTTTATGTTAAAAACTAATGTCCCTCTAGCCAAAGGTGTCTTACGTTTTCTGATACACATTTCTCAAAGTGCTATAATCTCCAGAGCCACTGAGCATGTATCTTCCTCATGTCACAATTTTTAATTGCTGTGGTTTATCTTTTTTGTAATAAGGAGTGAGCTGGAGTCATCTTAAGATGTTAGAGCAGGAAGACGCTTTACAGAGTGTAACGTGGGTGCTGTGTCTCCATCACACCAACGGCCTTGGCCCTTCTGGCCGGGAGGACCGGCCGAGTGGTTCTCAGAGCTGCAGCATTATGGCCAGGAGAGCTCAGCAAAGCACAGGTCATGGCGCCCCCGCAGTCTCCATTCAGTGGTTGGAGGTGGGCCTGGGAATCTGCATTTCCAGCGAGTTTTCAGGTGATGCTGGTGCTCCTGGTCCCAGACGACACTTTGAGAATCACTGTTCTAGACCAGAAATCTTCACTCAAATCTCTTAAATTGCAAAGAATTGAGTTTTTCATTTTTACTAATTGTTTTTGATGTCATGTAGCTACATTTCAAGTTGCTGGAAGTGCTGCTGTATCAAGTTTCCCACATTTGACATTACCGATCTAACATAATATATGCACTTACACAAAGGCACGAGGCCCTAAACCTAAGGCCTTTTGTCCTATTTTCCAGAATCATGTGGTCAGTTGTGAAATATATCATTAACACAGTGTAGAAAATAGATGTGACCAGTTTAAAGAAAAATAATAAAACAAATACCAATGTTTCCAACTTGGAAGCTTCTAGATTGCATGCCCGTTCCTTCCATCAAGAGGTAACCACCATCTTGACCTTTTTAAAAAATGGTGGTAAAATACCTAAAATATATCATCTTAACCATTTTTAACTCTAGTTCAATGGTGTTAGGTATATTCACCTTATTGTGTAACATATTTCTAGAACTTTTCATCTTGTAAAACTGAAACTCTGCCCTCATTTAACAACAACCCCCCTTGTGCCGCTCCCCCAGCCCCTGGCGACCGTCATCCTCTCTGCCTCTCTGATCTGACTGCCCTCGCACCTCCTGTAAGTGGAATCGTGCAGTATTTGTCTCGTGGTGACTGTGCTTGTTTCTCTTAGTGTGATAACCGCCAAGTTCAGCTGGGTTGTAATAGGTGTCAGAATGCCTTTCCTCTTGAAGGCTGAGTGATATCCTGGGACGTGTGCGCCCCAGAGCTGCTCACCCGTCACCCGTCGATGGACACGGGGGTCACGCCTACCTTTTGGCTGTTGTGAATAGCGCCGCCCTGAACATGGGTGTGCACGTCCTGACTTTTGTCTCGATCACTTCCTTGCTTTTCTTGATAGTTTCCCCATTTAACTATGTGCCCTAAAAAATACAGTGTTGGCCAAGCACACACACCTTGCTCTGCAAGGAAAAGGTACTCTTCCCACGTTAGATGAAGACATGCAGGAGAGGGTGGACTGATCACCCTCGCTGCATCCTGGTCAGACAGAGCTTCCCAGGGCCCTTACTGACCGCCTCTGGGGGCATCTGCAGTGAAGGTCAGGAGAGGATCCTGGAACCACAGGGCACCTGGCAGGGCTGAAATATGTATGAAGGAGGAACCTCCAAAACTTAGAATTTATTTATGAAAAAGTGTGTGTTTATTGTTACCTATGTAAACTTAGTCCCCTTCAAAGTACTCTCCAGTTGTTACAATACAGCTATCGGGACATTTTTTCAACTGCTCACAACAGTTTTTGGACTCATTAATCTTGATGCCTTTTAGAGTTTCTGCCATTTTTTTTGTTCCATCTCTTCAACATTTGCAAAACATTTCCCTTTGAAGACTTTTTTCATCCCGGGAAACAAAAGAAAGTCACTTAGGGTGAGGTCTGGTGAAGAGGGAGGGTGAGGTATGGGGGTCATGCCGTTCTTGGTGAAAAAACTGCTGAACATTCAGCACGGTGTGGGCAGGTGCACTCGTAAATCACACGTCAGGAAATGGGCAAATGCATTTAAAGAGTCTTCAAAAAAAAAAAAAAATTCACTGAGGCTGAACACAGCCTCTCACAACAACGCCAGCTGGTGTACCGATGGGTTCCTAGAGCACTCATGTAGCGTGGGAAGCCTGTACCACCCTCTAAGAAGATACTCCCATGTTTGGGGGGTCTCCCCTCATGTAATCAAGGGGAATGGTGAACTGCTTTGAAATTTTGACTTTTGAGCTCACCTGGTCTGGTTGACCCCTAGTTCTCAGGAGCTGATCACATGAGAACACTTCCGCGGAGTGAAAAGATTGGCCACATCTGGTGATGCACACAGCGGAGTGTGGACAGGGAGCTGGAACTTCATCAGCCGTGGTCTGTGCTATCTAAACACAGACAAGAGCCAGCTCACCAGCCCCAGGCATTTTGTGCTCTGTTTAAAACTGTTCCCTGGTTTACTGCTTTGGAACACTGGAAGTATTTACTAAAAGTGCATGCTCTGTGTCCTAGCAGAATGACTCCTGAGAATAACCCCAACAGAAACGTGTGCATCTGTTCACTAACGTTGCACGAAACTGTGCACAGTAGCTCCACTCGTGAGGACTCGTGAGGATGTTTGGGCTCTAACCCAAACATCCCTCAGCAGTAGGATGGATAAATCACCTGCGATATGCTAATATTTGTACAATTGGATACAGATAGCAACGAGAACAGACACATAACATACAACATGGGTGAATCTCACAAACAGTATTGAATTTAAAAAGTCAGACATAAAACAATACATGTGCATGATTTCATTTATTAAAAAAAATCAAAGGCAGACAAAACCAAGCTGTGATTTGGAAGCCAGGAGAGGTGTTGCCCTTGGGTTGGAAGGGGACCCCCGAGGGCTCCTGGGGCTCTGGAGTGTTCTTTCTGGGTCTGGTTACTGGTTACCCACATGTTCATTTTGTGAAAGCTCACTGAGCTGTGTACTTATGGTCTGTAGTTTTCTGTGTGGACGTTATATTTCAATAAAAACCTCAACTAAATAAAGATGGGGCAATGGCATTAGGCATCTTGGGACACATGCTTTGGTTAATAGCTTCTAGAGAAAGGATGTAAGGGAGTAAATTTTTTGAGACCGTGTATGTCAGAAAATATCTTTATCCTTTGTACAGAATTCTGGGTGGTAAAGAATGTTCCTTCAGAGTTTCGAAGATAGTGCTCCATTGTGTTTTGGGTTCCATGTTGTGGTTGCAAAGTCTAAAGCCGTTTTAATTCCTGATGCTGTGTGTGTGGCCTGTTTCCCTCTCTGGCTGGATGCGGACCCTTCTCTTTATCGTGCTGTGTTACACTCCCCACCGACGTCCTTCAGGAGGCGTGTTTTGACGCGCTGCCTGCGAGGCCTTGGACCCGATCTCGTTCGTTCGTTCTGGGGCCGTTCCCACAGTTGCGTTGGTGCTGAGGCCCTCTGTTTGCTCTGCTCTCTGTCCGAATGTTGGACCTTTTGAACTCGTGCTCTTGTTGCCTTTCCTTTTCTCTCATATTTTCCATATTTTTCTTTTCACTCCACTTTCTGGGAGACTTCCTCATCTTTATTTTACAACCATTCTGTCAAGTTTTACATTTCCTTTTTTATGGTGTTCTGTTGTTTCATGGATACAATTAGCTTCTTATATCTCTAAAGATATTAGCGACAGACTTTTGTTTATTTTCAGTTTTCTTATCCCTGCACAATCTTGTTTCCTCTGAGTTTGCCCTTTCCCCCGCCGCAGCCCCCTGCCCGCCATCTTGTTTGTTTTGGCCCTATTTTCCGTATTAGAAACCTTCCTTGGGTTTCCACTGGGCCTTGGTGACCTGCTCATGTGTAGAGCGGGGGACTGAAAAGCCGAGTGGAAGTTGCAACCATGTAGGTAGCGAGGCACCCCCAAGGGTGAGCCGGTGGCAGTTGTGGGGGCATCTGTTAGGAGCCGCTGACTTCAGGATCTGTAGCTGTTGCCCTTGGGCTGGTCGTTTTCCGCCAAAGCGAGTCTTCTAGTCTTCCACCCACAGGGTAAGGGCCTGGGTGCCAGCGTTCGGGGAGCCTGCAGGGGAGGAGGGCTGGGGTGGCTCTCTGGACCCCTCCCCCCATTTTGGCACAGAAGCTTTCCCACCTGTGCCTGGTGTCCCCCCTCCAGCGACCCCTGTGCTACCTTAACAGGAGAACGCGCCAGACCTCTGGCGAGAGGAGGGTGGCAGTGTAGGAGCAGCATGTGCTGCTGCTCTCCCGCTAACATTCCTGCGTTCCTTCATTCGTTCCTTATTTCCCCCACTTGGTGAGCCTTCTGAGGGTTAAGTGATCTAAATGGGATTAACTCCTCAATGTCGATGTGGCATTCTTGAGTCTGCTCGGTCTGTTCCCATCTGTAGTCCCACTTCCCAAATTGTGCTGTTACAGTGTCTTTTTCTGTTCTCTCAGATCTTGAGAATTCCTGTCATCCTTAAAAATCCATTTACTTTAGTTTTACTGTGGTTTCAGGGAGCAAAATTAGTTGCATGTGTTGGATCTGTTGTACTAACCTGGAAAAACAGCAGCAGCAAGAGCAAATGGCATTGCTGCCTTTGTGGCTGTCACTGTTCTAATGCTTTGTATAATTGATTCCTTTTTAAAATAATTTTTTTTATTTTTTCAATTATATTGAACATATGATATTATATTAGTTTCAGGTGTATGACGTAGTGATTAGATATTTGTATAACTTCAGAAGTCATCACCCCGATTCAGTCTAGTACCTATCACCTAATTCTTTTCATTTAAAAGTTTGAATAACTGATATTTATTAAATCTCAGAACAAATCCGTTGGCAATCAAGATTCCCAGACGAACCGTCTGGTTTCGGTCTGTTTATTTCCCGCGTGGTAAGTGCGCACGGAGGAAGAGCGCGGTGGCCCGCGGCCGGGCCGTGTTGGCCTCTCGCCCTAACACCCTTGCTCTGGCCCCTTGCTGTCCCCACAGAGGACCGTGCTGCAGCTGCTGCAGGGGAGGAGCGACGTGGTGCGCCAGTACATGGCCCGGCTGGTCAACGCCATCGCGTCCCTGGCAGAAGGTGAGCCGCCAGCTCTTCTTCAAGGGAAGGGCAAGGTCTTATTGCTGTTTCTTTTTTTCCTTTAAAAATGGATGATCTTCCCCAAGTTTCTTAGAGATGATATATGTTTCCTCAGTTTATTCCTGTTTAATGTGTGTAAGGGATATGTGAGTGTGTGTGTGTGTGTGTGTGTGTGAAAATTGGATGTTGTCATACTGCTGTAGTTTATGTCAAAGCAAATTTTGACAGTTTGGGGTTTCTTCTGTAAGCCTTCTGGTGTTACTTTGTAAGCTTTCTGGTTTTGTAACATAGGACTTTCTGTGTTGCTTTCAAATATATGTATATGAAATATATACACACATATATATTTCATACACACACACACACACACAGATAATACATTTTCTATAATTTCCTACTTAACGTGAATTCAGTTCAGGGACACATTTAAAACTGATCCCAATAAGCATTGCACCATTTCCTTCAAAAGACTATAACGTCTTAAGAGGATGTAAACGTTCCAAAGATAACATGCCACCATAACTGAATTCAAATGATTTTACAAAGTGTCACAATCTTCCATAGTTCTAGTCTGAGCTCTTTTTAAATGGAATAAAGGGAGTTTCAAATTATAATTATATGATGACACTCCAAAAATTTGTCCGTTCATTTATTTGTACATTCTTCCATCCATTTAGCAAACAGTTATCATAAGGCAGGGTATGTGCCAGGGACCAGTCATATAATAGTGTTGAAATTTATGTTTAGAATTAGTGTCTGTATCAAGCCACAAGTCCACAATTAGCTAGTGACGGTTCAAGCCTTAGTGTAGGAGTCCAGGTCTGGTCCCAACCTGCCCAGGCCGTGGGCATGTCTAGCAGGAGCACAAGGTGCACGGGCCATGGCCAGAAAGCACTGCTTGGTTGCCCGTCTTACCAAGCCTAAGGGGCTCCTACCCGCAGGTCCCCTGCCCCCTTTCTCCACAGAGATTTGACTTGGGGTCCAAGATTTCAGGGGAACACAGGACAGTGCTCCCCTCAAGAGCACAGTGATGAATGAGAAGAGTGCTTTTCTATCATTAGTTAATTAACTAAAACCACCTTTGCAGAACAAATATGTTTTAATAAGTTTTTTTAGAATCTAAAATCATATAAACTCTACTTGTGTTAGGTGCAAATGGTTTGCATAGGAAATGGTTTTGGGACAGCCCTAGGGGAGGCGGGGTAGAGAGTAGAGCAGAAAGGGAAAAGGACTCCTGGCCGTGGACAATAGTGTGGCGATTGTGGGGGAGGGAGGTCTTAGAGGGATAAATGGTAATGGAGAAAATACAATAAAAAAATGATTTTGGAGTATGACCTTAACACCAGATCAATTCTCTCCCTCTTTCGCTCTCCCGCCCCCCCCGGCTGTGTGACCAGGCCGCCTCTACCTTGCCCAGAGCACCAAGGTGCTGCGGATGCTGGAGGAAAGGCTGCGGGAGGAAGACCAGGACGTCGTCACACGGGAGAATATTCTCGGGGCCTTGCAGAAGTTCAGCCTCAGGTGCTGATGCGCAGTAGGTCATGGTGGCTGCTGGGACCTCCAACTGGGGTTTTTGTGAGCCACAATTTTGTGTTTATTCCCTCCCAGTGAAAGGCAGATGACGCTTTTGAGCTAATGCCGAGGGCAGGCTGGGTGACTCCTAAGGCAGAGCTAGAAAGCTTGGCACCAATCCACTAAACCGTCCTCTGCCAGCTGCTGCAGATGGAGAGGGACTTCTTTAAAGTGTCCGTGCAGCCTCCTCACGGGCACGACTATGTTTGGCCCCACGCGAGGTTGAGAGCTGTGCTCCCGAGCATGTGGGCAGAGCTCTGCGCTTGGGCTCGGCGCCTCTGAGACCCTGTGCACATGTCCCTGAGCCTGCTGTGACCTGGAACTGCTCCCCCCCAGAAATTTAAAATCAGACAGCCCTTCTTGAGCCAGATCTGATGTCCACACAGGCCTTTTTTTTAAATCGACAACTTTATGGAGGCGTGCCGTACATACCACCAAATTCTCCCATCTTGAGTGTACAATTCAATGATTTTTAGGGTATGCACAGTTGTGCAACCCTCACCATAATCTAATTTGAGGACATTCCTGTCCTCACAAAAGGAAACTTCAAGCTCATTCACAGTCACTCCGCATTCCGATCCCTGGCCCCAGGTGACTGCTAATCTACATTCTGTAGACTTACCTGCACTGGATATTTGATATAAATGGAATCAGATAACGCGTGTTCTTTGTGCCCAGCTTCTTTCACTTGGCATAATGATTTTGAGATTCATCTGTGTTGTATAGCGTGTCGGCACTTTGTTCCTTAGTATTGCCGAATAATGTTCCGTTATGTGGAGGCCGCATTTTGCTTATCCTCTCGTCAGCTGGTGGAGGTCTGGGGTGTTCCCACTTTTTGGCTCTGACGTGCAGTGCCGCTGAGAGCTTTTGCAGACAGGCCTCTGGGTGGCTGTGTTGTCCTTTCTCCGGGGTAGGTGTCTAGGAGTGGAATTGCTGGGTCCTGTGCTGATTCTTCCAGCATCCCGAGCCCCTCGTGGCCACCTCGCTTCCTCTTTGACTTTATGAAAACTTCTAGTACCTTCAGCCCCTCAGTTCTTCCTGTGTGTCCTCTTCTGAACACACATTCTTCCCATCAAATGTGGGGGACCCACCAGTCTGCCAAGGGACACATGTTTGGCAGGGAAAAGCAGCAGGTATTCAGTTCCTGCGATTTTCCAGGTTCTTGCCAATGAAAATTTCTTATTCTAACTCTCTGAATTGAAAAGAACTGTAAATAACCTCCCATTATTACTTCCCCAGATCACAGAAACATTTCAGTTTGCTTGTAAAGATAACAGCTTGGTGCCGTTTGGAAAAATTTTAGAAATTCAATAGCTGTAGTTGAGTGATTGAGGTAAGATAAGGTGAAGAAATGCTTCTGCCTGGTAATGTGGATATTTCCTGCCAGTTTTGTGCTTTCCTCCAAGCAGTCGCTTCAGCTTCCTGTTCTGGAAACGTGCTCCATGTTTTTGCAGTTTGCCAGGGTCTCCGTGGTGAGTGCAGAATGTCGTCAGGCTTACCGGGAGAGTGCTGTCTTCCTGTGTTCTGATAAATGTCCCTGAGCACGTGGGTGCGAAGGACCGTCCACGTGGTAGCTGTCCCACAACCTGGCCATCGGGAGGTGCGCAGGGGAGATGCATGGAGGTGCCTCCTCCGTGGTGTTTCGGTTTTCCAAGAATTCAGACGACTTCTCGTGGGGATGCTAGGCTTGGTCGCCCCAGTTCTGAAGGCTGGCACGGCGGCCAGCACTGCCCGTGCTGGGGAGGCATCGGGTGTTGTAAGAGGTCACCCCTGGACTGTGGGTGGAAAATAATGCTGCGTAAGTTGTATTACCCAGGTCATTAAATCATCCTTACTCTGTGGAGATCTGGATCAAAATGCTACTGAGCTGGGTTTTTACTTTTTTCTTTTATGTTTTTCTTTCTTTTTACACAGCTCCAAGTGTCTTAAGCTCAATTATAATAGACTAGAGTTTAGTAAAAATCTGTTGGTTGATGAACTATTTCTATGGCTCTGTTTCCTGGATTAAGTAGACAAAAAGCTATCAACAAATATTTTAAATATTGGAAAGGAAACTTTCAAAGCAGGAGGCCTCTTTACTGCCTTATCTCTCTTTAATCTCTTAATAATATCCTGTGATTTGCCGGGTTCCGGCCAATGAAAATTTCTTATTCTCTTTATGAATTGAAAAGAACTATGAGTAATCTCCAGGGTTATTACTTCCTCAGGTCATAAAAACACGTCATTTCTGTTTGTTTATAAAGATAACGGCCTGATGCTGTCTGTTTGGAAAAATTATAGAAATTCAATAGCTGCAGTTGAGTAACAGAGCTAAGACGAATGGTGCAGAATTCATCGCCGTCTCAGCTGTTCGGGCCTGACAGCGAGGCGCCCCCAGCGCCAGCACCCCGCGCACTCGGTCTCCCCTGACCCGCTTTGCACTCCTGTGTGCGACACGCATCGCCAGCTTCAATTTACCCAGAGGCTCTCTCCTCCCAGGCGCCCGCTGCAGACGGCCATGATTCAGGACGGCCTCATCTTCTGGCTGATCGATATCCTGAAGGACCCCGATGGCCTGTCTGACTACACGCTGGAGTACTCGGTGGCTTTGCTCATGAACCTCTGCCTCCGGAGCGCAGGTCTCACCGCCTCCCGTCCCCATGCCCCTGGCTCCAGTGTAGGGGGAGGTGGGGAGTCCTGACCCTTGAATCTGGGTGACCCATCAGCCTGATGGGACTCCTCTTTGTCTCCCCCATAGAAAAGTGAAAACGGGAGGAGTGTAAAGCTTCTCAACTGGGTACAAAGCTGTGAATCCCTGAAGCCTAAGTACCATTCTGGCCTTGAAAAGAATGTTTTATATACAAAAGATATATACAAATACACATATGTAATCACATACATACATATAATGTGTATGTAATGCCTGCATTAAGAGGATATTAAATCAGTTTATGTTTTTCTTAATCTTCATTGTATAATTCGAAGGTAGGAAGTTAAGGATTAGGGTCCCTTTTGTCTGAAGGCAGAGAAGTGTGTTCCCAAGGCTGTGCAGGATTAAGCTGGCAGCTGAGCAGGGAGAGTAAACTGTGCTGCCCAGCCTGAATCACCCACCTCCCCCCAAATGGGGATTCTCACGTGGACGTCACAAGTCATTTATGTGCTGGGTCAACAGAGGCAGTGATTTTACCTTCCTGCCAGTTCCGTCCCATTTAATGATCTGTTCCTTGGGATGAACGAAGCTTCTTTAGAGGAAGTGCCAAGTCCGGCCTGTGGCTGGGCTCGGTCTGGGTAGCCCAGTGTTGGCAGGTTGCCTGTGTAAGTAGCTGAGGGCTGTTTGTTAGATGCCCCGCACCCCCGGATGCTCTGTAATCTGAAGCACCTGTTGTTGACCGAGTACATGACTGTTTCAATCTTTTTTAAAACCTGCACACAAAGTCCTAGCATTAAAATACCCATGAGGTTATTTTTTTAAAAGATTTTATTTATTTATTTTTAGAGAGAGGAAGGTAGAGAAACATCAATGTGTGGATGCGTCTTGAGCGCCCTGTACTGAGGACCTGGCCCGCAACCCAGGCCTGTGCGCTGACTGGCATTCAAACCCGCAACTCTTTGATTTGCAGGCTGGCACTCAATCCACTGAGCCACACCAGCCAGGGCTAAAATATCCATGAGATTATAATCAGCTATTCTCATGGTCATCAGTTTACTTGCAATGAGTGTTGGGGTGATGCCGGATTGCTAAAACTGCTGCGTGGCTTCGATGATGATGCTCGTGCTCAGGGTCGGGGCAGGGGGCGAGGCGTGTGGTCACAGAGGCGAGTAGCTCCGTGCTCTGCCTGAGTAGACAGCCCAGGCGGGCGCCGGCCTGTGCGCACTCCTTCACCCACGGCACCCTTTCAGGGAGGTGCGAAGAATCCCTACAGCATCCCAGAGGAAGCCGCCGGGGCCCAGGTGGGCTGCATGACTCACCCAAGGCCACAGAGCTCATGAGCACAGGAGCCAAGATTCGTATTCCAGTCTGCCTGATGATCAGCTATGCTTCTGAGTTCAGACGAGTCATGTTTTGTTCTGTTTTGCTTTCCTAAGGCAAGAACATGTGTGCCAAGGTGGCAGGCCTCGTGCTGAGAGTCCTTTCGGATCTGCTGGGCCACGAAAACCACGAGGTACTCCACGCTGCTCGCCTGGGCGTGGGGAGGGCTGGCCCGCGGTAGTTTCTGCGCTCTCCCCCCTCCACATATTGGCATCTGCTACGTCCAGGCTTTCACAGCCTCTGAGCCCTGGACCTCTAGCTGGAAGCCCCTCCCCCACTCCCCCTTGGTGCACACTGCTGTCACTGGCGCGTGCTGGCACCCTCCGCAGTGCTGTTTCCCTCCTCGTTGTCCACCCGCGCTCCATTCCTCCCCACCGTGGACAGTGCTCTGTGGTGTTTAATGTGTGTCTGCGGGCGCACAGTCTGCAAGTGCATTTACTGTCGTGTGTGTATTCAGTGTGTAGAAATAGTATTGCACTGGAGAGCCCTACTTTCTTGCTTTTTTTCACGGTGGGTTTTTTTTTTTAAGATTTTATTTTTAGAGAATGGGGAAGGGAGGGAGAAGGAGAGGGAGAGAAATGTCAATGTGAGAGAGAAACATCGACCAGTTCCCTCTCATAAGTGCCCCTACCTGGGGACCAAACCTACAGCCCAGGCGTGTGCCCTGACTGGGGACCAAACCGGCGACATTTCAGCTGCAGAACGACACCCAACCCACCAGGCCACGTCGGTTGGGCCTCACTGCGTTTTTCGGGCCTTTCTGTGTTTCTCTGTGTGCCCCTCTGCGATGAGCAGCTCTCACTGCGCAGAGCAGCCCGCGTTCGCAGCACCCCTGTTTTCCCGGTCCGCCCCCCAGGGGTGTGCATCTGGTTGCCTCCAGCTCTCTGCTGCCCCACTGGTCCCCTGTGGACAGCCCCGCACTTGCCCCTGAGGGCCTGTGCCAGAGCTTCCCTGGCTGCTCACACCCTTGTTATTCCGGCTTACCCCGCACATCAGTCTCAGGTCAGAGTCCTGGAGGCTGTCCCCCAGGATGGCTTCTGCTGTCACAGGTGTCTGCCCCAATGCAGGTATGGTTTTTCAACGTTCTTTAGCTTTTGGGTCACAAGTTCATTCCAAATAAAGTAGAGGTGTGGCTAAACTAATAAACCGTATGACATACTGCTCACCTGCTTTCTACATATGCCTTTGCAAAGAGCGGGGCATCGGCACGATTCTACCTGCAGCCAAAGCCTCAACAAAGATCTGACCTGTGTGGCCAGATCAGGGCCTTAGGAGGGCGGGACTGAGTGTCGCTGAGGCACAGTGAGGCACGTGCCCCCACCTGCCTGCCCCCGGTTCAGGCAGACAGCTCGCGTTCTGTTTGCTTCTCCCCTGTCATGCGTTCCCACGGGCCCATCCGCGGAGAGACCTGGGTGTCTGTTACAGCACGTGCCATGCCCTGGACACTTCAAACCAGTGAACTCTCTGCTGCTTCTGGACCTGAGTGAACTCTGCTCTCCATTTTCTTCAACTCAGGCGGTTAGATCTGGTGGGGAATCCATTCTGTCTCTAATAGTAACGGTTGGTTTCAAGTGTTGGAACCAAAATGTCAGCCCTGGAAACTGAATAGACCAAAGGATTCAGATCATGTTGTGAATGGTTGGCAATGTATTTGCTTTGAAAATGAGATGGGAAATCTACCTATATTGTATTTGAGAGCCTAGAATTGTTTTTGCTACCCAAATAAATGTTACACACATGTATCCTATATACGATAGTTGTAGCCTTAAAGACAAAACCCAGAAGAAAACCCATAAAGAAAAGATGCATATAATTGACCATATGCACATTAAATTTTTGTGCATAGAAAAAGATGCCATAATCAAAGTCAAAAGACAAATGACACCCTGAGAAAAAAATGTGTGTCACATAGGACAAAGTTTTAGATCCCTGATATCTGAAGTACTCCTGTAAATTGATAAGCAAAAGTCAGACCAAAAAAAGAAAAAAAAGCCACCAGCAAAATATGGTAAAGGATATAAACTGGCAATTTACCTAGTAGTAAATCTTGACGATCTATAAACATGAAAAGATGTTTCATTTTGCTAGTCATCAGGGAAATGAAAATAAAAACAACTGTAAGATATCTTTTCTATCCATTAGGATGGTAAAAATGAGGGGTGATAAGCCCAGTGCTGGGAAGTGGTGAGGGTCCATGGCCCCCTTCCCCGTGGGGCGGAGAGAGTGCAGCTTGCACTTACCAGGCGCCGGCGTGCGCCCCGTCCCCTGTGGCCTGAGGTTGGGGTCACCTGTCCTGAAGAGATGACACTGAGGGAGACCTAAGGGCAGCGGGGGAGGCGTGTGTGGTGGCAGAGCAAGGCACCCGTCCGGCGTTCGGGGGGGCCTCCGCTGGGGTCGGTTCCCGCTGACTGTTTAAGGATGAATCGTAGGTTTTCAGGTGGACACATGTGGGAAGTGCACTCAGCAAAGTGCGCTGTTGGAACGAGGGCCAAGGCATGTCCCAGCACAGGGTGGGCGTCCCTTACGTCGCGTGCAACTGCAGTGTGAATTTCCTGGTGGCAGGGAAGGAGGGGCACTGGGTCCTGTGTGCCGTGCTGAGGAGTTAGGCCTGGCCAGGCAGGCTGCGGAAGGGGTCCGAGGCAAGGAGAGGGCCGGTGGTTTGGCCGTGCAGAGGGATTTCGGCAGGGACGTGATGGCGGGGTCGAAGGGCGCACATCAAAGGCAGAGGCTCATTCAGAGGTGTGGGGTGGCCTAGGTCACGGGCGTGCTGTCTGAACAAGGACAGTGGCAGTGTGGATGGGGGTGAGCCTATCCAAGGCAGCTTGGAGACTCTCCAAAGGAGAGTGAAGGAGAGGAGCCAGTGATGACTCCAGAGTTTCCAGCCTGAGTGACCGGCTGATGTGAATGGCGCAGTGGAACAGCAGGAGTACGCTTTGCAAGCAAGGGAACACTTTGGTTCTGGACTCTTTGTTGTAGCCGTCACTGGGACATGCAAACGGAGATGACAGTCATTTGTAGACACTTGCTGTCCGCATCGGCTAGGGTGTCTCAAGTGTGCTGTTTGATAATTGACTTGTACAGTACTTGAGAACTTGCAAATGACCGTTTTTCTTCTCCCCTTAAAGATACAGCCATATGTGAATGGAGCGCTGTACAGCATCCTGTCTATTCCATCCATTCGGGAGGAAGCAAGAGCAATGGTAAGAGACGTGCTTGAGACCTGCATGTGTCAGCTTCTGTCAGTGCCACCGGTCAGAAGCTGACAGCCAGGACTTCCCGGATGAGCCCAGGGAGGGGCTCTCAGACGGTTACGAGCCCCCCGGAATTGTGTACAAAATACCTATTTGCAGTTTTCTGATGATACTGTAGTTTTTATCAGATTCTCAAGGGATCCCCAGCTCCTTCAGTGATTAAGAACCACAGTGTTAGAAAGTTTCCAGCAGGGTTATTTTTGGAAAGTTGTAGACTTTTTTTTTTTTTTTTTTTTAAATTTAAATGACTCATTTAGATTTGGGGTTTGAGGAATGCTTACGGATTTCGTAGTAGCAGAAGCTTAGCAGGAAAATGGTGAAATGGAGAAAACCATCGCTCAGATTGACCTCCTGGATTCCCAGAGGAGCGGCAGCCACGTGAGAACCGGTGCAGTCAAAACGCTTGGACCTGCAGGCGCTCCGCCAGCAGCCGGATGGGACGGCGAGGCTGGTGAGGGTGGCTCACACCGTGCATCCTTGGCTGAGTGGTTTGCCAAATGGTGAATTCAGCACTTAATGTTTACATTAGTGCGGTGTCGGCAGCGCAGAACAGGCCACGGGTGATTACTGTTGCATTCAAAGTTGACAGATGCAGCCAGATCTCACCACCAAACCACTGGAGTTTTGTCCTTTTTCCTTGCAGCACATGAGACCAGGTTAACAGTGTGCATATTAAATGCTGCAATGAAAGGACTGAATATATTTCCAGAGGCTAAATTCCGTTTGAGACCAACAAAACGTTCTTCCGTTGGGTTTTGCTTTCCTAGAGAATTGGTAAATCTTCGAATTGGTCATCTAAATTGCATCACTGGTTATGCCAGAGATAAAAACTTAACAACCATTCTATGTGGTCAGTCAACAATGGGACTTAATTGCCTACTGCTTTTAAGTAAAAAAATCTGCTTTCTCAATACAGAGCAGAGGAAAATAAACTGTATTATGGTATTAATGGACATTCGGGGCGGGGTGGGGGAAATTGTCAGCCAAGCTGAACACAAAGAACAAAACATGTGGGCTGCAGAGAGAGAGAGAGAGAGAGGGAGGAAGGGAGGAAGGAAAGGAAAGGAAAGGAAAGAAAGAAAGAAAGAAAGAAAGAAAGAAAGAAAGAAAGAAAGAAAGAAAGAAAGAAAGAAAGAAAGAAAGAGAAAGAGAAAGAAAGAAAGAAAGAAAGAAAAGAAAAGAAAAGAAAGGGAGGGAGGGAGGGAGGGGAGGAGAGGGGAGGGAGAACGGAGGCCACACAGACTGGAAACCCATGCAAGGCAGCCAGGAGGGAAGACCTGCAACACGAACGGTGGAGAAGGCGGGAGGGACCCACAGAAAAGGGCCTGGGACCAGGTCAGGAGGGGAGACTCGCATTGTAGGACCTTAGAAGATGGCCATTAGAGGTCACCCTGGGCAGGGAGAAAAAGGTGGCAGAAAGGGACAGAGCGCCAGAGATGTGTATGACCACATCCCCAGGGCTCCCTCGGCTGCAGCTGGAGAGGGGAGACAGATACTGGGGCAGAACAAAGGCTGGATAAACAAGGTATCTAGGGAATCCCCAAATGTTTGGAAATTAAAGTGCTGACTGACACTTGTAAGAGTTATCTGTTGCTGCGTAACAAATTATCCGAAAGCTTGGTGACTTAAAAACTTTTTAATTACCCCTCTCACCTTCGGTGGGGCAGAGTTCAAGAGAGCATTAGTAGGGTGGCCTTCGTTAAGAGCCTTGCGTCAGTTTACAGTCTAGACTTGAGCCAGGGCAGCCAAGGCTTGACCAGGGCTGCAGAGTCCGTGTCACAGCGCTTCCGCGGCAGGGCGCTGGCTTCCCCGAGTGAGCCATGCCAGAGGGGCAGAAGGTGCGTGGGGCGGGAGCCGTGGAGTCCTTCATAACCTAGTTCCAGAAGTGCTGTCCCGCCGCTTCCATTCTCGTGTTTACACAGACCAGACCAGCCATGCACGTGTCGGGGGCAGGGAGCCCCTCCAGAGCAGGAATTCCAGTGGCCGGAGGTCCTTGGGGCCATCTTGGAGTCTGGCTGCCACTCATTTCTAAGTCACCTGATCCAAGAAGTCACATCAGGAATAAGGGGCTGTTAATCTTTTCGACATGTATTACAAACATGTCCTATATTTTTCGTTTGTCTTTTCATTATGATGCTTTGCGTTACCTGGTAGCTTTAATTATCATCGAATCTATTAATATTTCCCTTTATAGTTGCTAATAGAAGTTTCTAGACAGCCTCTAAATTATTGAATTATTGACTCTAGAAAGAAAACCTGGACTGTTCATATAAAAGTATAAGCAGTGTAAGTCTCCCTCTGGCATTTTAAGAGGCATTAAGGTCACCAGCCCTGGAGGGACCCCATTAGCCTGGGTGAGGAAACTTTTGGGCACATCACCTAAGCAGCTGCCTGCTTAACTCTTTATAAGAGAGGCCTGTAAGGGAGGTTTTGGCCAACACTTCAACACCCTGAGATTTCCCACACTTCTCTCTTATCCTTGAGGAAGTTTTTAGATCGATCAGGGCATAACATTGTTTTTGCATAGAAGAATAATAAAGATAACCAGACAGCGAGGAAAAGAAGCACCGTAGTCTCACTCAGGCGCAGCGGCTCGCCGCAGCGCTGGGCGGGGGAGGCAGGCAGCCGGGCCTGCCATCCGTTCACTGTCCTCCTGGGAAGCGGCCGGCAGTCTGCGAGGGAAGCCACCGAAGGCTCCGTATCTTGGATTCATGTACTTTCCTCTGGTCATTGATGCAGAGAAGAAGGAGCTCTACCATGAAGATGCTCATTTCAACATTTTTATTGTGTAACACTGAAAAACGGGAAGCAACGTGAATGCCCAGTAACAGAGGAACTGCTAATGAAATTATGGCTCTTTTGCTCAAAATACTAATAACTATTGAAGATGATAATTAGGAAAAGCAGTATGGAAAAATTTTATTGTATAATGAGAGATAAAAGCTGACCATGACGTTATAAGACCGTTTTTGCAACTGTGTAAAACGTTGTGTACTTGTGGACAGTAACAAAGAATACATGGAAAATTATGTTAGTGCCAAATGCTCTTATGGTGGTCTTACATAATAGGAGGGAAAAGGAGAGGAAGACAAATGGGTGCCCTGAAGCCCATTTGAACTTGAAGAGATTGCTGAGGTCTGGGCCCGGGGAGGGGATCTGGTCACCAGCACTGCCCGCAGCCCACTGCACGGCCTCCTGTGCTCGGGGCTGGGGTAGTTGTCGGCCGAGGAGCTCTGCCCTCGGAGGTAAACCCAGCCAGACACCCTGCCCTGGGCTGGAGCAGACTGGTGCCCTTCAGGTGGGAAGGCCCCCGGAGTCTCTGGGAGAGCTGCGGAGCTCAGTTCGAAGACACCCAGCCAGGGGGAAGGACCACGGACTCCACAGGGCTACTCCAGGGACACACCACGGCTTGTACCCTGATGCCCGGGCCCACAGCTCACACCTGGGAAGCCAGAAACTCTGCCTCTGCTGTCCCCAAAGGGCTGGATGTCCCTGCTTCCCACCTGTCACGTCACCAGCTTCCAAATCAGTCTCCTGTGGCTACACGGGATTGGCAGAACCTAAAGCATGTGCCTGGGGGATTTTTTATTAAGAAAAATTCCCCCAAATGACCCTCCTAATTACAGAGCAGGGATTTGTGATTCCCCCACTCCCACTGCCAAGTGACAACTGAACTAGAGCTATACGAAAGAGCAAATGAAAACAAAAAGATCTTTCAGTATACGAGGAGGTGATCATTTTCTAAAGTAACCCCTAGGAAGAAAAAAATAGAGGGGAGCCTGAACACGTTATTTGTCGCTCTCCACTGATAGGAACAGTAAAAAGGCACGGACATTGACTGGTTGGTGGCCATCTGATCCTTGGCCCTTTCGGGTTTATCACACTGCTTTCACTTGGTATGTTCTTCCTCTGCCCTTACCTTGGGTGGGGGTGGGGAATGAGGACACCAGTTTAGGAGGTTGAGAGGCAAAAACTCAGCTCTCCTGACAGCGGAGGGCCTGCTGCTTGGGTAAGACAAACCCCGCGTCTGACTGGCCCCACAGAGGCCTCACTGCCAGCCACACCTTCTTTGAGATGCTCACCTCAACGTAGAAGCTTCCCAGGCTCTTTCCTTCCCGACTGTTCCTCAGGTTCCTCAGCTCCTCCTCGTGGGACATGTCTGTCTCTGCCTCCTAGTTGAGTGCATTTCTCTCTACGGTTCTGTCCTAACCCTCTTCTCACTCTGCTGTCCCTGGAGACCCTTGTTTAGTCCCTTGGCGTCAGCTACCAGCTCTCTCTCCTGAGCCACACACCCTCCCAGACACAAGAAGCGCAGTCTCACCCATTTATTGAGCACCTTCTGAGCACCTCCTGCTCAGAAGTCTGAGCAGAAGAATTTTTATTGTGCACATAGAAGGAAGTGTTTGGGAAGATTAGCTGAAACTATTCCATTGAAAAGTAGTTCCCCCCAAAAAACAAAAATGTTAACAGTTACTCTCTCCAATGCTTTAGGGAATGGAAGACATCCTTCGCTGCTTCATCAAAGAAGGCAACGCTGAAATGATCCGCCAGATTGAATTCATCATCAAGCAGCTTAATTCAGGTCCGTCTAATGCAAGAATCTATGATCTAGATTTTGAATCTTTCACATAGGCCAGGAAGATGCGTGGGCTGTCATAGAGAGCTTGTCATATCTTGGAGTTTATTCAAGAGCCCAGGTGAACCTAGAAACAAAATTTCAACCCGGTAATATAGGCCACATTGTCCCCAAATCAGCAATCACTTATCACAGTGTGGGCTTATAGTCAGTAAAAAGAATTCAAAAGAAATTACAGAAACACTTCTGTAACCATAAGCCCTCTGTGGCTCTGCCGCTCCTGATCCTTCCCCCACCTCCAAAGAGTGCTTCTGGAGTCCTAGGGTAGATGATGAAGGCAGATGCCCATCTTTCTAGCACCACTGTAGAAAATGTCTTCCTTCTTCCACACTCATTCATTCACTCCAGAAAAATTTATGTTGCCACTGATAGCATGGGAGGGTGTGATCTCTCTATCCAGCTTCTGCCATTACTGTGACAGCCCACATCCCATAATAAGCAGAACAGGCCTGTGAGGGAAGTCTTGGATGGGACCAGGGTGGTGAGGAAACTCTCAGCTCTTCCTGTGACTCCTGCCACCTTCATCCTGGCTCGTACGTGTGCCAGAGGCACCTGGCACTCCAGCGTCCACGGCCAAGCGTGCCACCCACGTCTCCCTACGTGTCTGTCCTCGACACCCAACTGTCCACAGCACTGAGAGTGCACAGATCCTTTTCAGCACATGCACAAGGTTTAAAAAATTGAATCTCTTGATCTCTACTCTGATCCCTAGTCAGCAGCTTGACCAAAGCCAAGCAAAAGGGCAATGCCACGCCCGTCCCTCGAGGAAGCCCACAGGTGGCTCTTCCGGCTCATGGTTCACAGCCTGGCAGTCCCACACCCCAGTTAAATCAAAACCTCTGGGGGGCCCCGGGTGTGAAGGGTGTTGAAAGCTTCCAGGCGACTCCAGTGTGCAGCCAAGGTGGCGGACCCCTGCTCGGACGGATGCAGAAGTGGGGAGGCGGGTTGAGGACCTGATGGGGCCCCGGACCAGCAGCAGGCAGCTGGGACAGAGTGGGGGCTTGCGCGCTCGGCTCCCTTTGGGCTGGGGGCCCATTTCCATCTGAACCTCCATCCTCTGGTCTTTGTGGAGCAAGTAGGATCCACCCCAAATTCAGGCAGACATGGGATAGAACTTTATTTTCTACAGCAACCTCGATTCTGATTTTGAACACCCATTCTTCTGGGATGCGGGGGCATCTTTAAAAAAATAAAGTGAAAGGAAACCTTCCCCGCAGCCCTGGCTGAGGTTGCCCCTAACCTCCTCTGGGTGGGCAGGCCCCAGTGGGAGGGTGGCGAAATGCTGGGGCAAGTTGTTCCCTATCTTCTCCGTGGCCACCAGCTGTGCTGGGACCTCCTGCCCCAGCCAGGGTCCCCATGCAGCCGCGCAGCATGTCTGCGCTGGGATTTTCCCTCAAGGTGGACTCTGTTTCCATCTATCATTTATCAAGACTCACCACCTCCATTTCCTGGTCAGTCTTCCTACTTCCTGACTAAAAAACATCTCTTTCTCTTACATAAAACTGGCCGTTGGACCAACATGCCAAAGAATGTGAGGAGGGAGGGGTCAGTTTACATTTCTGTAGGGGATGTGCTTTGGCAAGAAGTTATCTGGGCAGAGCTAAAGCTGTATGACCTTGTGTATCCAGGCAAGGCTTGGGAGGTACCTGCTTAACTCTGTGAGTTCCAGTTGAAATAAAGACTATCTGAAGTATTTTTTATCTCAAGCACCTGGGTTATTCCATGCCCATAGGACAATGGCAAAACCCAGTGGTGATTACCCAGGAGTCCGCTGCTTTGAAACAAAATTAGAAAGTCCTTGACCCTTTGGAGGGAGGTGCAGACACAGACACACAAATAGCCCAGCCCGGGTGGCTGTGGCGTCACGTCGGAGTGAGCTGACCAGCCCCGGGATGGAATCTGGAGAGTGTCCAGCCCAGGCTACGCCCTCCAGTGCGCGTTAGCAGCAGGGCGGGAGCGAGGGGTAGTTTCTAGTTCAAGATCCTTGAAGTGGCATTGCCGCCACCTGCATTTAAAGTTGGGCTTTCTTGCTTTGTTTTAGTATGTTTTTCCCATAGAGTGTTAAGGTCTTTGGGTACAGAAGTCCTGGGGTATCTTAGGAACCTAGCCCACAGGTGGGGGCGGACTGCTCTGGTGAAGCCTAAGTTGGATAATCCCAGCCCTCAGGTAGGGGACCTGCAGACACTGGCCAGTCACTGAAGAAAGGACAGGAAGGCCTGACAGGTCACTGGGCCGGAACAAGGCGGAGCTGGCCTCACTGCTGGGCCCTCAGGAAAGGAAGGAGACCGGCAGCTCCAGCACCAGCTCTGTTAGTTGTTTGGGTGAGGGCGCCTTGTGGGGAGCCACGGCTCCCGGAAGCCCAGATGGGTGGGGCCAAGGTTTGCATGGTACCTCCGTTTACAGGCCTGCATCTTTGCAGGGACAGGAGCCTGTAGGCTGGCCTAACGAAATGTCTGAGTCTTTAAAATAAAATGTATTTTCATATTTGAAAAAGAAAGGTTTATCACCGATAAATAGAAAGTGCAGCATTTCCATTTCAAAAGCCACTCACTAGCAAGCCCTTCACTGAAGGCAGAATGGAGGCAAGGGCCTTAGGTAATTAAGCATCACAGTAACATCCTCCTGTGCACAAGTGGCTTTCTGGACTGAACAGGTTCCATGACAATGACAGGACCCAAGGTAGGCGTGGAGGCATGCAAGCTCCAGCTGCTACTTGTGCATTCTAGTAAAAATGGAGAGGCAGATTCAGAGTTGCTTAGGATGATTTCAAACCGTGGCTGAAATGGTACCAGGAATGCGATTGCTTCGATGGAACCTGCTGGTCATTATGGTGTTTACACATCTCTGTAGAGGCCCAAGGGCGTTGTGGACCAAGGCTTCTAACTCTGTTCACGGCTACTCATTGATCTCTTTCTTTATAGAAGAGCTCCCGGACGGTGTTCTTGAATCTGATGATGACGAAGATGAAGATGATGAAGTAAGTTGGGGGCTGTTGCCAGCATGTAGGAAACTTGTGTCAGACTCTTCTGAGTGCCTTGAAAAGTCAGTCCAGAAATGGGAACTTTCCTCCCCGCTGCATTCCTCAGTTCTGTAGGTCGGCTGCTGTTCCGCTGGGTGCTTCACTCCTGGTCCCGCCAGGGGTGTCGCGCGGCCGCCCCTCTCCGTGCCCACGCCGGCCTTGCACCCTCTCAGCCTCTCGCCGCGTGGCCCCGATCCCTCAGCGGTACAGCCTGGATGCCCTTATCAGTTGGTCGCTAGGCTCCATGAGGGAAGAAGTGAAAGCGTCCAGTGCTCTCTGGGCTCAGTGGTCTCAGGACGCTGCTCCCGCTGCGTTCTGCTCAGGGTACATCCTGGGCTTGTGGGCCAACAGTCAGATCCCACCGACGGGGGGGTTCAGGGCGTGGCCAGGCGGGCGCCATGTCTGAAGCCCCTCGGCCACACAGTGCTGGGGTGGGGTGTCTGTCGCCGGCCCGGGGATGCCGCGCCCCATGGCACCTGGGATCTGTGAGATGTCAGAAGGGAACAGTTCTTCAATAGGAGTCTGTTGCTTTGAAGGGGCCTGAGTCTTCACCTGTCCCTGGACGGGAACAGTGGGCACGAGGTTCCCAGCGAGAATCTGCAGCGTGAGGGATGGGGCTTGGTTCAGAGCTGGCAGAACCAAAGTTGGCCGTCTCTCGATACGGGTTTCCCCAGCTGTTCAAAACCTGCTTGCCTGGTTTTCCAGAACGTCAAAGTTCACAAGTGTTGTGAGTGAGTCTCATGAAACCGTTAGAAAAGGGTGGCTCACGGGCTGAGGGATTTTCAGATGACAGACTCTTTCAGACCTCGAAAAGACATACGGCGTCCTCTCTAGTGCTCCGTGGCTGTAAATGATGTGCGGTCCTTCCATTTCGTGGGGAGTGAATGCTGGAAGCTGTCTTTGTATTGGAGTTGTGGTCTAGCCGTTTAAAAGGTGTGTAAAAGCCAAGTTTCTGTTCCCTGATGTCACCAGCTGGGGCAGACAGTCAACTTCAGAGGCCTCCACCCCCCAGGACAGCTGGGCTGAGATGGGCCTCCCACCTGCCAGTGGCTCTTCCTGGGCTGTAGGTGGCGCCAGTGGGTGTTCCTGCTCCCTGGGCCAGTGGGGTAGGTGCTGTTCTGGACCTCAGCAGGGCAGCCGAGCCAGCACCTCCTCCAGGCCCCTTCCTCCACAAAGAGGGGTCAGAGAGCGGAGAGCAGCCTTGGGTCACCAGAGAGTTAATGATGAACAGACTTTTTCTAGAAGCAGGAAGATAGTCAATATTTTCGGCTCTGCAGGCCACAGGGCCTCTGTTTCAGCCACTCAAAGGCCATTCTAATGCAAGATGGCCATCGGCAGTACATATATGGATGAATGTGGCCGTGTTCACATCAAACTTGATTTGTGGACTGTAAAATTTGAATTCTGTATGATTTTTATATGTCCCTAATTTTTTCTCCAACATTCAAAAGTGTGAAAGTTATTCTGAGCTTGCTGGTCTTCCACAAACAGGCCTCGTGGTCCTGTGGCCAGGCCAGGGCCTGGCCCAGAGCGGGTCTTCCGAGGGCCCTCTGTCACCGCGTGAGGGCTCTTCACTCGTGTAAGAAGGTTTCACAGCACGAGTCCAGGTGACTACGAGGACGCACGTATTACTGCTGGGGACAGGGACACGAGGAAGCGCTCAGCACGGAAGCAGCAGCAGGAGAGCTTCGGCAGGACCGCCTTAGCTCACTGGGAAGTCAGAGAAAAGGGGGCCGTGGAGACAGGTTCAGGGGATCAGCCTGGGACGCGCTGCCAGCTGCCGGCTGCCTGTCCTGGAGTCGAGGAGACGTGAGCCTGTGAAGAAAGAAGCGGGGGCGGGGGGCGGGGGGGGGTGAGGGAGGAAGAGACCGCAGAGGGGACCTGGGTTCTTTGTCCTGAGGCTCTTCTCTCTCTCCTGCCAGGGGACCCTCGGGAGGCCTCAGGGGAGGCTTTCAGCAGGCTGTTCATCAGTTCTCCGCCTGCGTCCCTTCAGGGTCCTGGCCTCCTCTGACTGGTCGGTGGCAGGGCGGGGGGTCTTTAGTCGTTGCAGTTGGTTCTGGCGCCCACCTAGTTCTGCTTTTCTCGGCCTGGAGCTGAAACTCCACTGAGGCCTGGGTGTTGTCTCCAGGGAGGAAAGGTTACCCTCCCTGGTGCTTACTCTCCCAGTTTTGTCCCTGCCAGGCCCTGGGGCCTGGTGACCCCCTGCGCCTGGCCGTCAGTTGCGCTGCCCTTGTGTCCAGCTCTCTGTCTCAGTTTCCCTATTTCACTTGCCAAGGAACTTTCCCAGCTTCTTACTGTCCTGTCTCAGCCTGTGCCCAGCTTCTACCAGCCTGTGGCGCGGGGCCCACTCCCTGCCTCAGTTGGCCTCCTCGGGGCTGTAATAAGGCTCCCCCTCTGTGGCAGGCCCTTCCGCTCTGTTTTAAATTATATTTTGAGCTAATATTTATTTAATTTCAATAACTTTTTGTCACTGTGTCCAAAAGTTCCGCTTAAGATCTATTTTTTCCCTTTCTATGTTACCTCTTTGGGGCTTGTTTTGTTTTGTTGCTCTTAACTCTTTTATTTTTGCATTACAAGGGAAAATTCATTTGGTTCAGCTGTTCTGGTTAATGAGGGAAATTCACCTTTTGGAAGTTTCCCTATGGAAGCAACTATAGCCTATAAATGGAGGAATGAAACTGGAAAAGCCGGCGTTGGGGCTGCCCATCACCTACCAGCCCCAATAAGCGGAGACAGGGATTGGATCTTTGCGGACGCTTTACTCAGACGGCCCAGTCGGCGGGTTTGTGCCCGTACAGGCCGCACTGCGTGTCCTCGCGAGCCAGCCTTTTTACAAACGAGAACAAAGTGTGGTGAGGGATTTGCAATTCAGGGAAAATGAGGTTTTAAAAAACCCCATAGGGTTCTGGCCCTGGGCGGTCGCCCCGCCTGGGACCACAAAGCCCCAGGCAGCTCCGACATCTTTAGCTGCCTTAGCTTTACCCCAGGGGGCTGTCTGTCCCTCCCTGGAGCTCACTGGCTGGACATCACCTTGATTGCTTACGGTCTCGGTCTCTCGGTCTCTCGAGCAGCACAAAGATCAGTCAGTCACTGTGATTTCCCGGGTCAGGGTGGGCCGTGTCTGCGGCTCCCGAAGCAGCAGCTTTTCCACAGGCATTTGCTGCTTAGGCTTATCAGTTTCCTGAAATGGAGATTTTCCAACTTTTGAGTCCCCCTTCAGGAATATGGAGATCTTTTAATTTTCTGGATTTTTTGCAGCTCTAGAGAATTTTATTTCAAGAGGGTAGTGTTTGAAAATACTTGTGGTAACTAGAGTTTTCAGAAGGTTCCTGGAAGGGGTTTAGTTGGGAAATTGTAAGGAGTCGTTTGGGTCCTCTAACTGGACTCTCTGTGATGAACACAGTGACCATCTGTGATGACCTGATGAGCAGGTCAGCAGATCCTAGACTCTCCCTCCCTCGCCATCCTGACCCTGCGCCGCCGAGCATTGGCCAGGGTCGCCTGCTCTATTGTACTCAGCTTTCACCGAGAGTAGGTGCTGCTTTTAAAGTTGCCTTTTAAAATTAGGGAAGGATGGAGCGTGGGAGAGAAAGATGCTTAGACCAAAGGAAAACATCCGAAATCCATTTGAACAAGTGGCCCTGTTGTTCAAATGTGGCTGTCAACCTCCCCGGGTGACAATTTGAAAGGAGACGGCACAGTGATTTTCAGAGCCTCACAGTCATCCTTCATCTTGCTCAGCAATAAAAAAATTTTTTTTAATTTAATATTTAGACCCAAAACCCGGATAGCAGAGCCATCGTTTTCGGTTGGTGCTTTGCGCCTCCCAAGGTCCAGTGGCCCTGTGGGGGAGGGGCCGGACCCTGGGGGGCGCGGCGACATGCCCCCTTCACCTCACACGGAGCTGGCATCTGTGCACTTATGGTCTCGGCCACAGGTCCTGCTCCACTGGACACTCTCTAATTTATAAATATGGAACAACTTGTTCTGATTGTGCTTACTTAGTTACGACTAAGTATACATACTTTCATGTGCCAGAATTAAAAAATTTAAAGCTGGAGCTAGAAATGTTTTTTCTGCCTTGTAGGCTGTCCAGGATATAATGTCAAATGGAAAAAGGCAATTGCAAAGTAATGTGCCCAGTATGCGTCTACTTCAGAAAAAATAAACATATAAACACACATCCTTATGAATTACATGTGTGCTTATAAATCCGCGTAGGTGTGGAAGTTACGCCCTCTTTGCTGACACTGGAAACTGTGTACGTAAGGTGGTAGGGAGGAGGAAGTGTGGGTGAGAGGTGAAGCAACGCCTGCCAACTTGGCGCAGATGCGACGGGAGGTGAGAAGTGGCAAGGGCACAAGGGGTGAGTGGACAGAGGTCCGTTGCTGGGCACCGTTGTAGCCTAATGGGGCCAGAGCCAAACAGAGCGGTTGGGAGAGCACTTAGGACGGGAGGGAACGGAGCTAATACGTAAGTGCCGCTCTTTCCACAAATCTGGCTGCGTGGAAGTCAGTCACATGAGAGGAGGGGGATGGTAGCTGGGGGGAGCATTTTTGTCTGGTTTTGAGAGAGACCTAAGCATGTTAAAATGCCGATGGGACGGACCCAGGCCCTGGCCACGTGGCTTAGTTGGTCGGAGCATCATCCCTACACCGAAAGGTTGGGGGTTCTGTCCCCAGTCAGGGCACATATGTGGGTTGCGGGTTCTGCCACCAGTTGGGGTGCGTACAGGAGGCAACCAACCCACGTTCCTCTTATATCGATGTACCTGTCTCTCCCCCCTCCGCCCTCTAAAATGAATACGCATATCCTCAGTGAGGATTTTTTAAAAATTCTAGCTTTAAAAAGAAATGCTGATGGGAAGGATCTAGTCGAGAGCAAGGGCCTGACCATTCGAGGCAGGAGGGGAGACAGAGGCTGGCGTCAGGGTGGGGTTTTATTATTTTCTAAATTGC